CTCTTACCCACTATAAAATATGCCTTTTTTTTTTTTTTTTTTTTTTTTTTTTTTGCGGAACCCTTTTCTAACTTAACTGTTTTCAGAATATACTGCTTGTAAATGCCTTGTTAATGATCTTGAAAAGTACATCCTCAGTTTGGTGATGTGAGGCTTACTCATCGTGTGCAATCACCGAGTTTGAATTACAGCCGTTGCATGGAAAATTTGAGATTCCCAAAGCCAATAGCGCTGGGGCTTCCACAATAGAGGCATGCATTCCTGTGAAATGACATCCTATTTGTTACAACTGAAACTTGGTTTTACTGAGTGTGCCTGAGTGTTTGAATRGATCTGCTAGAATAGTGTTTTGGAGAATACACTCAACTTTCATTTATATAGCCTTTGTCTAATTTGTGTGTATGGTACYTGCAAGTCTGTTTTTGGGTGGGTGGCATCAAGGAAACAGACTTGGGAACAAAATTTGCATGTAACTTCAAGTGAAGGCACTCTTAGTATTTCGTATGTTTTCCCTGCYCCATTTTGGTGTAGGAATTAGAAAAGTGGCATTTTGCTTTTACAGAAAACTGAATTTGACTTTCCGTTTGTTCAGTGTTGACATACAATGAAAGATTGTTTAAGACTTCAGCCGCAGACAGTTAAAAATGTGAAATGTGTATTTAATTGCTGTGCACCAGGACAGATAATGGCTGGCACAGTTCTCTTGCTAATTTATGTACCAACAAATGAGTGCAGTTTATGTGCTTKCCTTCAAAGCTTGTTAGGTCAATCACAATTTCTCAAATTCCTTACAACCTAAACAAAGGTGTAATTTAATATTTTTAGATGTAATCAAATTGAGTGATATTGCTTTATGAATATTGTTTTAGAAACAAATCATTCCATGCTTGAATGCTGTAAAGAATTACTTGTTACTAGTGTAGAACACACATTTAGCACCTAGTTCATATGSGATTTGATCATGCTAGTCAGATTTTGAATGTGTAGAGAAAGAAAGAACATGTTTTCAAGACAGCTAAACTAAGATATCTCTATATGTTTATCTATATGCAGATATATTGTAAATAGCCTGTATATAACAATGAGTAGTTATGACTTTATACTTTCCTCATTATGTTAAAGTTCTGAAATTCTGTTATTTTAATAGCCATATTTTTTAGGGTTTTTTTGGGGGGAAGAAGGGTGGGGAAGGGTCCTATTATGACTGGGAATCTTGAATTTTATGGAATATTATTTCTTGAATTTGAATATTATTTCTTTTGTTAAAAGGTTATTGTTATATCAGATTACCTGAGCGTATGTGCCAGCAAGATGCCAAAAAAGCATCTAGCCAGACTTGACAGTTCTTTAGGACTGTCATATGGTAACTCAGTTGGRATTTCTCATTATTTTGATAAGTATTTCTGGTTATTTCAGGCTCTACAGAAACATCTTTTTTTTTCATTTTGTCATTAGTTGTTTCTCTTTAGCCTGATTTATTCTCAAAGCCAAGCCAATTGGAGATACTAGTTGATTTAATGACAGGAGCTTTGAGACCTGCTGGACAGCTTCATCTGTATTTAATAAAGGAGTAGGTGCCTTTCATCTAACTGTGTTTCTGCAGTCTTCGGGTACCTTTGTAGCTACATGAGAAAAGACCCAAGTCAATGCCTCTGTGAATGAAGTGTTACAGCCTGTTGTCTGTCCAACAGGGCCAAAAACTTCAGGTGCCCTGCAGGCATGTTCTGACTGTTTAGAGAGCAGGAGAGTACCTGTCTTGCCTAAGGTAACCTGCCCTTTAGCTCAGTGGTACTTCCTGAGAATGAGGCAAGCAGGACAGATTGCAGTGGGGAAGTGGCAGCATCAYAGGGGTCAGGAGTTACTGCAGTGAGGGGAAAAAAAGTAGAATATATATGTGTGTAGAAACATGCCTTGTTTCTTCTGCTTTCATCTGAAAGAGGGCATAACCAATCACAAACAACCTTCGAATGTTTCTGTAGTGTAGCATGCACTATAGCAGATCAGTTAGCAACATCTGGTAGGTGTGTTTATTTTGACAAGTAGTCTTAATGTATATCTGGAATAATACTCCTTACTGTATGCTKATTGCAGTAAAAAAAAAAAAATGCTCGTTTGAACTGTGTTGGCTACCAAGCATGCTGAAGTATATAATAATGTGATTTATTAACTCTTTAGAAACTACTTGAACGGACTCGTGCCAGGCGAGAGAACCTGCAGAAGAAAATGGCCGAGCGACCTAAGGCAGGAACGAGACCCACAATGCAGGCCAAGAGGGTCAGGGAGCCTCTGGTAGAAACAAGTAACCAAACACCTCTGCCTGGTGAAGAAGGTATCTTATAACAAGTATAATTATCAACAATCAATAGTTATCTTTTGATATGAACTCCATCTTTCTGTTTTTTATTTTGTGTGTGAGGTTGGATGGTAACTTGTAGTGTTTATCCTAAACTAAACACTGAAGGGTGAAGTTATTTACCCGCTAGGTCTGAATATGAATAGTATTTAGCTTGCTCTGAGAGCTAGTACTCTAAATAGTTAGTAATCTATTTAAAAGTAATGATATGATGCCAGAGTGTCTCATGCTTGGTAAAATTTGGTTAGGGTGTTTTTTGAAAGTCTTATCAGGGTATACTTGCATGGTAACTTCATCTGTGTGGCACTTTTGCACTGTTTCTATGAAAGTATTTTAGATGATGCTAATTTGTTTTATACTTTGACTTGTACAGTGAAATCTAATACAAAACCATCCCCATCAAAGAGACTGTGCTCTGACAGTACGGAGGCTCAAGTGTCCAGTTTAGAGAATAGACAGCCAATTTCTTCAAGTTCCATGAACAACCRTTCTCCTGAGATGACTTCAGAGTTGCACRTCCCTGCTTCCAGCAGGGCTCCATYAGTTCAATCCCCTGAGAAAGGTAAAACGAATGCCAAGACAGAAACTCCCGCAGCCCTTTCGGTCAAAACACGTATGCAGAAACTGGCAGAACAGCGACGTTGTTGGGATAACGAGGGTATGTTTTTCTTGCTAAACAGCATTAATTTTTTTGTTGTTAGTGTTGATGATGAAATGTGCTAGCAGATGATAATAACATTATGTACATGAATGCTTATTATGCCTTCATAAAGAATTCTTAGAGCCAGCGCTGGGGAAGGAGAAATGGATACCTAAGATAATAAAACTATTGACTATAGCTTAGTTTTGTATAACTYTTTTCCAACTACTTGTATGAGGTCTTGCTCCTTATAAATTATATAAAACTAATGAACTGTTTGATTAAAAGTGTATTGACCTTTATTTCRATCTGAATAGTACCGGTGCTTTCAAAGCTAATATCCTGACTCCTTTGATATAGGAATAATGTCTAATAGCTGATAAACCTAACATACTAATATACAAATATATATATATTTGTTGGCGAAATGAATGTTTTCTTTTTTTCCCAGATCCTTCTGAATGTGCACATCTGTCTCCCCTTCAGTCAAAAGAGGTGTCTGTTTCTCCACCTAAGCAGCCCTGTATTGCCCCGGCAAGTGACACCCCTATTGGGAGAAGAGGCCGTTTGGCCAACCTTGCTGCTACAATTGGTTCCTGGGAAGATGACCTAAGTCATCCATCTGCAAAGCAAAACAATGCACAACAACAGCCTGGTACTACTTGTTTATCCAAATTGTCCACTACAAGTGGAGCATCTGCTAGAATCAATAGCAGCAGTGTAAAGCAGGAAGCTRCATCCTGTTCTCCAAGGCTCGTTGAGGCTTCTATTAATAAACCAGCAACCTCAAAGATAGCGGTGAGTGTTTGATTAGCTGCTGATTAAGAATCAATTGGGGGTATTTGGAGGGGAGAAATCTTAATGCATACCTGTTTAATTTGGGTGCTGATAGCTCCCTTGAAGGCTGAATGTGAGCAATCTCAATTGCTCACATTGATTTCTAACTTTTACCTTAATGAAATCCCCTGTGCCTTTTTAAAATAAATCTGAAATAGTTTAAAATGCTTCTTTTGAGCTTTAAAGCAGTGTGTGTGTGTGTGTGTGTGTGTGTGTGTGGTTGACAACGTGACCGACTTAAATCTGTAAGTATTAATTCTGTGAGAAGTCAGCCAGAACTCTGATTTATTTTGAGGAGTCATGGGAAAATATATGAAGAAGTTGGTAAATCTCTTGAATTAATGACTGAAAACATATGAAATGATGGATCAAAATGCTACAAAAAGCCTCTAACTTTAGTTTTCTGCTCTTTTAATTGTATAATGTTAGTGTACTATGTAGTGTAGTGCTATAGTGTGCTATGCAGAATGCATTTTTCTCTTGGGAGAATATGTAAGAATCTACAGTCTCATTTCAATATTATTTCTTTTCCTTGTTAAGGATCCAAATACAAAGCCCTCAAGAGACACCATTCTCAGATCTAAGGAATCTGAAGTACCATCATCGCCAGCAGAGAATCCCAGCAGCCTGCAGAAACCCGAAGAAACTAAACCAACAGTAAAATCAACTGCGTCACAACCAGTTCAGTCCAAAAAAGGGCTAGCCAAAGGAACACATGTACAACTTGAACCTCAGGATAAACCCACAACACCAGGTAAATATTGTTTGTCAGCTTCAATAAATATTCATGCAAGTCCCACTTAATGCTTTCCTGTGTTGAAAACTATATGTTCATTAACAATGTATGGTGAGTAATGTACCAGAGTGCCTCTGTTCCCCTATAGTAAAGTGCCAAGAGATSTATGATAACGTTTATATAGATTAGTACGGCTTTCATATTTTGCAAGTTTGGAGACATGTAATATAAAAACTGATCTTTTCTCTTATGTAAAAAACGGTCCTGCTCACATCAGTCAACTTAATTCAAAACTTYTTTAAAATTGTTTGATAGAATATCTATCCAACGTATACCAGGAAGAGTCTCCATAATTGCTAGCAGACAGCAAAGCTTTCAGTTTAGAAAAGCATGTAGATCCCTAAGTTTCCCTAGAATTCTTTCAGTGAATAACACAAGTGTCAAATGTTCTTTCCAATTTTTAAATAAACTAAGTTAGAAACTTAGTCTTCCTGAAATCTTTGAAATGAGTAGAGCAACTGTGTCTGGACATACTGACAGTAGAATATCGGCTTAGGTGAGGTGGATCATGAGCAGTGTTTCTGTGCTTGAACTTCAGGTTTATTTTCTGTAGTGTAGCAGAATAAGAGCTGTAGAGGAGAAACTTCAGTTGCTGCTTTGAGAGTGTTCAGTGGGCTGTAAAGTTGCAGTGTAACTTCTGTGTTTTTGAGGATTTCATAAGACAAAACARTTATTTTTGTAGGGGGATCAGGAATTAAGCCCTTCCTGGAACGTTTCGGAGAGCGTTGTCAAGAACATAGGGCACAGAGTCCTGCTACGAATACAGCAGGATACAGAACACCCATCGTTACCCCAAATACAAGGACAATCCAGGAAAGGCTTCTCAAACAAAATGAGAATTCCTCTACTGCCAGTTTAGCACTGCAGCTTAAGCAGGTATGAATTGCAATTTTCCCAAGCTTATTTATAAGCCTGGGAAAGATTCTTACTCYTCTGGACCTCCCTGAGGAAATCTAAGTGTCTTGACGTCTTAAGACTAACACTTTTTCCTCCTCCCCATTGCTTACTTAGGAACGTGAACGAGAACTTGCATGTATTCGTGGCCGGTTTGATAAGAGCAGTCTGTGGAGTGCAGAGAGAAAGGAAAGCTCAAAGAGAAAACTTCCAGAAACTAGAATGGTAACGAAACAAAAACTGATGGTCTGTCAACTGTTTTAACGTGTTCTTGGTAGAGGGATAGATGGGAGAAGAGGAAATTCTGGGCTCTTCTGTTTAATATTTAGTACTTCAGTTGATTTTTTCCTAAATATGATCTTGCTTGACATTGGGTCTTTTCTTAACACATGCTATAATGTTTCTTCCACACACTTTTCATAGTTACTTTGAACTTAATCTCATGGACATACTAAGCTTTTTTATCTCTGGTAGGAAAACCAGTCTCAGGCTAGTCCAAACCATCCTCCTTGTTCAGAAGACACTGCTTCTGGGTCAGTGGATGATGCATCGGCTGAAGAGAAGCCAGTAAAGTCTCCCAGTGTGGAATCTTCAGGTGGGAATTGCCACTGTTGACAAGTGTCTAATACTGGGTTGAAGCACCATCCTCTTTATTAAAAAGCAGTTAAAGAGGCTAGTAGCACTGGTGTTCACAAGTGGATCTCTGTCTGTTTCTTGTTTGACTGTCAGGCCTTAAGTCTTCCATGTGGTAACAATTCTGTGCTTCTGCACTGCTTGAGTGGCCTGTTTCTGTTTTAGTTGGGATCTACCAATATTTATTATCTTCATACAAAGTGCGGAGGATGTGGCTGAGGATGGACTGTTTTGGACTTGATACATATTGTAATATAAATGTCTCTATATCTGTATCTGTAACAGTAGTCTAAGGTTTTTATTTACAATAGCAGTATTTCTCATGAGGGCAGAGGGAAGGAATCCTGAAATGTTTGACAACCTGTCTGGTGTTCAGTAAATGGCAAAACCTCCYATCTGTGAAAGGAATGACTGTGTTTGCTTTCCATAGATATTAGAAGCAGACAAATCTACCTACAGAGCAGCGAGATGAGACTCTGTTCTTGTGGTTTTTTTTTGAGAGGGAGGAGAATTTTTGTTCTGCTCTTTTGCTCTTGAATGGGATGCACTGTGCTGTGCTTCAGCATTGTTTTGCTTTCTATTTTCTGATTATAAGACAGAAGAAATTTAACTGCACAAGTTGTCAATCAATAAAAAAACCTTTAATTTCAAACACACTTAAATATACAATTTAGCAGTGTTTTTGTAAGTAGTCAGCTATATTAACAAACTTGTAAAAATGATTAATTTAGATAAAAAGGCAAAGACTAAACTGTGTTCAGTGACTTGCTTTTCTTGAACTTCCTTAGACATTCCTAAATGCGAAGAGACTGATAAATCCAGTCCTTTGAAGACTGTGCTGACCAAAAGCCCTAAAAAAGCGACGTCTGTCTCAAAACTTGAGCAGCTTGATGTGAAACAGGATGGTTCGTATTGATCAGATGTGTTAAAATGTGCTTAGCTTCATGTCCCCACTTGTCTGTCAGGAGGCTGATATCCTTAAAGTTCAAATGATGATTTCCCCATACATGTGTTAATATTCTACACATGTATTTTGGTAATCAAACTTATGAGAAGTCAGGAAACTTTTAAACATAATCATTTCTCTGGGCATTGAAGTCTTCAAGGATATTAAAACAGTGATATTAAGCTATTGAGAAGGGATGGACATGATGGCTCTACTTTTGGACTTGCATTTAAGTTTCAGAATTGAAATGTTGGGCAAGCATATCTGTTAGTATATCAGCTACAGTGCAAAACTGATGTAGAGACACTAACAGCTTCATTTTGATACAGCATTGTTTTAGTGTTATTTTCACTATAACAATTTTTTAATCAACCTTATTTGAAGAAAAAAATCTATTGCTGTCTTTTTATGTAATGAGACTGAAAAGTTTAGTCTTGCTACTAATTTTTTTAATCTTCACTCTTCAGATGAAGGTGAGATTGAGAAGAGTGTGGATGATGAGCTGAATAGCTCAAGAGTGATAAATGAAATTTTTGAAGTTCTTGAAGAGGAAGGTCCAGACATAGAAAAACTAAAGAAGGAAATGAGCATAAGCTTGGAAGGTGAAAGTGATGAGGATGAGCAGGAGGAGTCACTAAACATTTCATCAATGTCTCTCTTAACTCCTTTAGTGGAATCTGTTGGTCCAGAGGTGAGTGTKCTTGGGAGGTGGGCAAGTGCTTGTTTGTTTCACAAGCTGATAAGCCAATTTCCTTGTGATCAGTGATACCTTAGTATGTTGTGATATCTGAGCAAGTATGTAATTTACAAATGATATTTTGTTAATGAAACCTTACATTGTCATGTAAAGTTTCTGAAGCGTGGCTTGACTTTTGCTAAGTTGCATTTGAGCTTACAAATAGAAGTCCAGCACAAGTTATAGGTGTATACATGCATTCAGTGAAGTTGTTGCTAGTCTTTTAAGAGGAATAACTGCAACACAGTACCAGTTTAGAAACTAAGCATGAAAAACTGAGCTTCTGGTGTCCCTTAAACAAAGAAAAAAACCCAGATCACCCACTTCTGTGCTGTGGCTGTCCTCCCCAGCCACAAAGAAAAATGCTCTTCAATGCAATAAGCAAAAATGATAAACTTAAGTTGTTCCATGTCCTTAATGTTTGTTAAACTAGCCTTTAAATATTGCTAAGCAGCCTCCAAATTTAATATTTATGTGTAATCACAGAAGAAAAATGAGAGGAAACATGTCATTATCAATTTGGAAAGTTTTTTTATAAAAACTTTTTTCTCCTTAGGTGTTTATTTCCCCTTCTCAGTCAGTTGGTGAGGGCAGCAGTGTCAGCGAAGCAAGTCTGMAATCTGATAAGTTCCAAAGGACTAAAGTCCCCAGGGCAGAGTCAGGAGATAGTATTGGCTCTGGRTCAGAAGATCGTAACCTCCTGTATAGGTAATGAACTCAGTTATCTGATTGTATATGCCATGATAATGCTTTGTGTTTTTTCCATTTCTATTTAATTTTTTATTTTTTTTTACGTTATTGCCTTAAAAGAGAAAATCTGAGCTGGTAGGACGAAAAGAACATGTTATACAAGTATATCTCTGTGAAAGRATCTTTCAACTGCTTAAGTTCCAAAAGAAGCTTTCTTCAAGTTCTCATCCTCTGTTGAAGGTTGCCTCTCTGCATAGTCTTTGTTACTTCTACTTGAAATAAGTTGACAGAGTACTATTTTGGAAAAGCTTTATAGGCTAGTTGGAAAATTCACTACCTCACCATTTTATATATACAYATACACATATATAAGCTTTARATTTAATTGATAAATTAGGGGTTATTTTATCCAATATTCACATATAGACATTAAAGTATACACGTGACTAGTACCTGTGAAATGTATTTATCAGTTTCCTGTTTTTTTTCAAGTGTTGATGCATATAGGTCTCAGAGGGTTAAAGAAACAGATCGTCCTTCAATAAAGCAAGTYATTGTTCGCAGAGAAGATGTTGCTTCCAAACTGGAGAAGAAAAAGAATGGCCAAGCTGATCAAGTTAATATTAAAAAGAAAATGCAGGTATCTAATAGTTTCTTAATCCTTTTTTTGTTTTATTTCCTTGTCCAGGACGCTCACATATGCTTAGAGTGGTAAAATTAGGCTGCATAGCGTCATAAATATATAAGGGGTACTGATAACTGCAGAATTCAAGTAGCTAATGCATCCTTTATTAGGAGATTAAGGCTTTGTTTTGAAAAGGGTAYAGAGAATCTGTATTTTGTTACTGATGCTGCATTATGCTGATTTCGCTACTGTATCCTTTTAATAAGCAATATTCTGGTTCTTCTGGAGCCTCATTCATGTATGTTAATTTTCTTTTTGCTGATTAACTACTTCTTCCATATACTGGTTCAGGGGATGCTAGTGCTGTGTGACTCATTATGAAGCATTGAAATGCTTCCTCATGGGCTCCCTGCTCTGRTTTGTTATTGTGTGCATGTTTTTAGTTTTCTTTTAGAAATAAAACTATAAATTGCACTGCCTTCTAATTTTCAAGCTCTCTAAACAATCTAATTGGCTGAAGTATAGCTAGAGATGTTAAKCTTGAGGCATTCTTAGTCTGTTTTTTGCATTTAAACTCTCGTGTAATTTTACTTATTTCTACTACTGTCCTACTCTAGGAGCTGAACAACGAGATCAACATGCAGCAGACAGTAATTCATCAAGCCAGCCAGGCACTGAACTGCTGTTTTGATGAGGAACATGGAAAAGGGTCGCAAGAAGAAGCAGAAGCAGAGAGGCTACTTCTCCTTGCAAGTAGGTTTCTAGACTCAAGTCCAACTCTGTGTCTCGTGAACACTTGGGGGAAAAATTGAGCTCAGACAATGCATTTATTATGGCACATTGTACCTGCTTACTTATAGGTTTTCTCTTGAAAAGCAGCAACAGGAAAAATATTTATTCTATCTCAGCTTCTCCAGTAGTCCAAATGAGTTCTTTTTGGTCTGTTTTTTTCCTTCCAGTGTTCTGAAAGATGATTGATACCTCTTAATTTATGTGTATATTTACATATGCATATGTCAAAATATAAACTGTTTTACTATGTATATAACTATATGTTCAGTAACACTTCACAATTATGTTCCCTGTACAGCTGAAAAGAGAAGTGCTTTGTTGGAAGAATTAAATAAAGTGAAGAGTGAGGGACCTCAGGGTAGAAGAAATAAAGCTGCGTCTTCTGAATTTGCTGCATCCAAGGGATCTGTTACCATTTCAGAAATGCGTCTACCTCTAAAAGCAGACTTTGTATGTGGTACAGCTCAGAAACCAGGTAAAATTAACAAGTGAAAGCAGTTAAGGATGTTTTAGTAATGACAGTGAGCTGTGTTCAATAGAGCTGCTTTTTGGCTAAGTTACCCATGTCTTCCTGGTCTTGGTGGTATCCTTCTCTGGCTTCTGGGCTCCAAGAAGCTTATCACAAGTTTCTCAGCCTGGTCTTAAAAAGATCTTTCTGTGGTTTTCTGTTGGGAATGAAGTAGAATTACTTACCGTGCATCTATCAAGAGAAAGTAAAAGAGAGGCACTCAACTTTAGTATTCTATCAATATGTGATTGACCTCTGTTTTGTGAAATGAGTGTTAAGACTCTCCCTTTAGTCTATCTCTTAACATCCCCAGGTACTTCTATTTCTTGTAATATATAAGTCAAAGTRTTAAAATGTGGATTTTATTTCTTTATTTTCTTTTTTTCTTGGCTAGATAAATCTAATTCTTGCTAGTAAAATGTCTCACAATTCCCTATCCAAGGTCCCAAGACATATCCCGGAACATAATAAACTGTTGAGTTATGTGGTTGTTTAAAGATTACAATTTAGTAGTCCATTATAACTAACTCTATTTAATAGAATGCCTCTGYACTGGACTGTAGCCAGTTTCTTGCTTCCCTAAAATTTCAGGACAAAAGTCTTTGAGCAGAGTTTGACAAAGTGACTGCATAAGCTCTGCTAGTGAATTCACATGCTCTCTTAGTCTTAGCTATTGCATGGAGCATAGAGTGACTCTTTGTCTTTAAATAAGAGCCCAGATGAGAATATGGATRAAAATACATGATGTATTTAACCTGAGATGTTATAGATCTTGAGACATGCTGTGCAGTTCTGTGCTTTATAGAAAAATCTTTTGTGGTACCAAAAAAGGTTTAGTTTCTCTTGATATTCTTAAACTGTATTGTTTAAACAACCAACTAGGAGCTATTCATCAAAACAGGGTGCTTCAGAGATTGCTATGCATGTTCTGTGTCTCAGAATGTCTTCTCATTACCTCTTGTGAAGAGAATATCAAATATGAAAGATACCAAGACAAGCCTATTGGAGTCTGCCACAATTCTGAAAGCTCTGACCTGTCCTAAAGTAACAGACCAGCCACTACATGTGTGTTTATCTGTTTTTAATGTGATATGATATTATACAATACTCTTTGCTCTTGTGGTTCTCTCTTTCCTTTTTTGTGAAAAGTTAAGCAAACAAGTTGCCTGGAAATGAGTTCCTTCATAGGAACTGAAAAGARGTTGAGGCTAGACATTGGAGAAAGCTAATGCTTAGTAAAGCAGATAGGTCTGAAGAAAAAGAGCAGAACCCTAAGGGACTGTGTTTAACCACTGAATCTAACTGAAAGCTCTCCTCTTTGCTCCCATGTGCTGGGTAATCTGGCCTGAGGTGCCCTAGGTACTAATATAGTTGCTGTGAATACTGTGGAGACAGTTTTCCTAGTGGATGAAGTAAGAGAGATAGTTATTTTACTCTGAAATAAGTTTACAATCAATTCTTCAGTGTGTTGAAATACCTTATTTAATGAAAATGCAATACTTGAGGACTGTTGGATGCTTGGACACTTCTTGCAAACAAAACCTTCTCAAATGTATTTACAGAAGCAGCAAATTACTACTATGTAATAATATTGAGATCTGGAGCAGAAAACATGGTTGCAACTCCCTTAGCAAGCACTGCAAGCTCCCTGAATGGAGATGCTCTTRCTTTTACTACAACATTTACTATGTAAGTATAAGGAAGCTGCTTTGGARCCAGTTCCATTTTTGACTCTTGTGAAGTATACACGAAAATATTGTGTAAGTTCTTGTATAATAATGTCATATTCTCTTAACAAATCTTGTGGAGCTTTTGTGGTTACAGGTATGTGCTGCTTCAAGAATTTGCTCTTTTGAGAGCAGTGCAGCTACCTAAACTGGTTCTGCTATCCATCAGCTAGTCTGTCACTTGCTTTTTTTCATTTTGTTCTCTTCTGAAACACCTGCAATGACAGATGCTCTCCCTGAGATGGTGTTTTTCTGTTTTGTCACAACTAATGTTTTATATAGCTATTTGGCTTCTGTGTCTGGAAGAAAAATAGCACTGTTAAAAATAAAACCCTCAACTGGTAGCTCTCAATATTGGGTAAAGAAACCCTGAGTTCAAATGGCTGTTTCTTTTTATTCCTGGGCGGAGGGAGAAAAAAAAATAGGGGAGGGGAAGAGAAACCTTTCTAGAACTAACAAGCAAGCCTTCTTTTTCAAGCTTGACTCTAGGAATTACCACTTAAAGCTAGTTACTCAAAAACCCACTCTACTTCTAGAAATGTATATGCTAATAGTAGACTGAAAGATRTATTTTGAGAAGTGGTACGTGAACAGTATTATGGTTTCACTTTCTGGTATTTTTTGAGTTCCATAAAGTATCCTGTTATAGCAATATAATCTTAATACACTGTAATATTGTCTGCACTGGAGAGTCTGATTGGGGAAATGAATCTTTAGCCTATWGGCCTGCAGGGACAAACTATGCCTTAGCAATGAGATGGGCTACTGGACAGCACCTTGGCCAACCATCTCCTGAGTAGAACCTAGATGCTCCTAACTGCTCCCTTGGGAACTCTAGGGAAACTTGCTTGTGCTAGGGAGCAGAAGGTAGACAGAACCACCAACTAACTTGGAAGAAAAAACGAAAACACGCTTCTTGCCTCGCTCCATGTTTAACTTGTTCTTTTTTTCTTTCTTTCTCCTTTTCCCTCTTTAGGCACGATGTGTCCAATGACTTTGAAATAAATATAGAAGTTTACAGTTTGGTAAGTATCAGTGCCTGTCAAGAGTATCTATAAAGCTGTGTGAAGTGTTGTATTTTCTTAGTATTCTCTTGCCTTATAGGTACAGAGAAAAGAAGCTCCAAGCACTGATAAAAGGAAAAAGGCAAATAAATCTAAGGTAAATGGAACATGAAAATCATAATGTTTTATTTCAACAGAAAGTATGCAAAGAAAACCGCAGTGTTCAGGGAGAACTGAATAAAAGTCTTAGTTTTTGTGATTGCTTTTACTGTCCTTGTTCTTTCTTGGAACATCTGCATGACAGATGGATTATGGAGTCTTTTAGTTATTAGTAGATTGGACCTGGAGCACTTAAGTCTGAAATATATTTGAGACGGAGGAGAGAAGTTTTACAAAATGCTCTTAGTTACATAAAACACCRTGCTTCACAAACCCTTAACGTGTGGCTGCCTCTTTTAAGGTTATGTGTCCTTATTCTCTATTTTAACTAAATTACACTATTTTATTTTTTTCTTTGACAAACCACTTTAGATTTGTGTCTTAACTTCAAGCATGTACCTAATTAGTGTATGTCAATAAAGTCTCAATGAGATTTTGACTTGAAAATGCTGATGCATAATATACAACACTACCATAGTAAAAATCTCTGTATTTGTGTCCTTGWCTTAGATCTCTTAATAAGCAAATGTAATTATGAAGGAAGAACAAAAAGTGTGCTGAGATTATTGAGATTACTTTTCAGATGCACCTAGTTTTGTTTTTTGAACTTCTACTGAACGTAGCAAGTGTAGGGAAAGAAAAGCTGCATATCAAGAAGATGTTGCCTAAAAAAAAAAAATCCAAGTATGTATTAGCTTGGATGGAGTACCGAACTTGTAACAAGAATGAGTAGCCACTGAAAATTCATCTAGATAAGTCTTTTTTCACTGTTTAATTTACGTGTAATGTACTGACCAAATTCTCTAGCATGACATTGAAATACATTTTTTTGTAGGTTATTACTCCAAAGAGATTATTAACATCTATTACCTCTGTAAGTATGAATGTAACATTTTGGATATGATGCTTCCAAAATCATTTTTGCCCAAAATAGTCAAACCTGTAATAGATTTTTTTTTTAATCCTTTACTTGAAACTAGGTAAACTGTCCAGTTTTCTGCCAGGTTTTTCAGCAGAAACTCAAGAAATAAGCTATTGCTCTAAATATCTAATGTTGGAAACTTGCAGTTACTCTGCATGTTTACTTGGATATCTAAGTTTTAGTCTTATGTAGAAATTGCCAGAAACTTCTCTTCCACTAATCTTCTGTTTCTCTTTCTAGAAAAGCACCCTTCTTACCCCAGGTAAGCAATAACAAACATGTTATACCAAGGTGAAAGTTAGGACTTGCTGTCAAAAGCAATGTATCTATTTAAATAATACTTCTAACAGTTGATAATTTGGTAATGACAGACGATTTTATCAGTACAATACAAACAATTTTCATTATCTATTTGTCAGTCTTGAAACTCACCCTGTGTTAACTGTTTTACCACTATTAGTGCAAGCTCCCATCAAAATATATTAAATTCCTGTATTTTACATCAGTTTCCTGAAAATATGAACTCAAAGGTATTTAAAAATTTAGTAGGAGGTCAACAAGTCCAGTAATATAGAACTACCTTTAGGTTCTTGAAAATATGGTCAGACTCTGAAATACTGCTTTTGTATGCAGTTTTCAAGAAAATTCTTTGGTTTTCCTGATCCTTGAAGGAGGAAGGGAACAGCATCTATGAATCTCTGGCTGTGTAGAAACAGCTTGTGTGCTTGTGTGCCTGCAGTTTGGTGTGCTTCAGCTAGTTTAGTACAAGATGGTAACAGTAAGTAAATTGTGAGCTAACTACCAAGCTGCTGGAACTGATTCCTGTGCCTGAGCAAATGTTTGTTTCCATATAATGCCCACTGTCTCAAACAGGTAAGCCTTGCAAGACTGCAGTGTGCCTCTTCCTTGTGACACTGTGGTGAAGTTTTGGCTTTTAAATCCCTTCCACTTTCTCAAGATGAAACTGCAGGGCACGTGTGCTTTGTGATGTCTGTGCCCATGAGACCTCTGTGCTGTTTCCCCCCACACACTGGGGCAATTTCAAGCTTTACAAGAGAAATAAAGGAGGTATTGAGGAGGATACACCCAAATCCTGTCTRTGCTTCCAGGATGTGCTGCAGAATTTGCTTCTCCTGACCCACTGAGTGCCTATACAATAACACAAATGCAGCCTATTTAAACTTCACAACACCATAGTAGTGTAAGGTGGTAAGACCTATCTTGAACTTTCTCCATAGCCATGGCCAGTCCGGGTGGCCCTAATGCTGTGCGGACAACTAATTTTGTCCTCGTTGGATCCCACAAGTTATCGCTGTCTTCGGTAGGAAATACCAAGTTTGCACTGGAGAAGGTAAGGAAAAATAYTGCTTACTGACTTGTATGCTACAAAAATGAATGTGGGTTTATTTTTTTCAAAGTTATCTTGAGTGAAACCAATAGGCACATATGTTTGTGCATGTATCTGTTTCTATTGCTCCATCTTAATTTCATGAGATATCAATGCAAAAGAAATTAAGACTCAAGTTATTATGCCAGATATTCTTTCTTTTCCTTAGCTGAATGTAAGGTGTGTTTATACAGATATGAAGGCATTTGATTATTGAAAGCTTTTGCTAAGAGAACACTGCATGTGGTTACCACCTCTGTATACAGTCTTCATATTGCTTGTTGATTTGCACTTTTCCTAAAACGTATTCTAATGATAATTTGAAGTTCTGTAACTGACTTATTTGCCACATGAATATAGCTAGAACTAGGAATTCCTATTCATATTTTGATTAAATTTGTGGAAGTGGACTACCTTAATATTTTTTAAAAAGCTATTATCAAGTTGTATAATGTTAATTCCTTGTCTAAATAAAATAGGTTTATTGGTTCTTATTATTACAAGTTGTAAAAACTCTGTATTTATTTTCATTGTCAAATCTAACCATATAGCTTATACTTAAAAGTTGTTGTAATAAGCATTTATGCCGGCAGCTATTTTARGCTAACTTAAACTAATTCAGAAGTTCTGACAAATTACAGTAGTAATAAACTACAGCTTTATCTGTCCAAAGAATAGTGAAATAACAAATTTTCTTCTTGACTAATTAACTTTTATCTCATAAGTGTAGTATTACAATTGCACCTTCTGATGGGAGATGAGATAGCCATGTTGGCACATAAGATTATAAACAATATCTTAAATTCCAACTAGCTTTTCAGAATATTAAATTTTGGCAGATAGGGAGTCGGTCCTTTCCCAGAAACTCTGCTGAAGTAGCAGTTCACTTGCAATGCTCTTACTGACTGTACAAATGTGACGAGCACTGGCACTGAGGAAGCACAAATCTTCCTCTTAATTAGAACCCTGTGTCGGAGACTTATTTATTTGTGCATGGAAATAACCTTGGTTATTGGAAGCCTCTTGGTGTGAGGTAAGGAGGAAGAGCTTATACTTGATGTTCATCAGTGCACGTTTAAATTCTTAGCTTATTCTTTGAAAACGGGAGACTAGACAGGGTGAGCACAACTGTAGTACTAGATTATAGCACAACCACAATGTTCAAATGGAGGTCTAGAGAAACTCTCGTGTGGTTTAAAAGTATCTTTTTTTGTTTGTTTGCTTTCTTTCCAGATGTGTAACTTCAACACTTTTCAATAGGAATTGCCTCTTTGTCTTTATGTGGTCTTGTTCAGTGTGTGGGCTTTTTTGGTGTGTCTTCAGGAGTTGTGACCTTGGCATTGCTTTAATATTGCGGTGGCCCCAGTAGTACCAAACAGCAGCTTCTTAACTGGCTCCGTGCATTCCTTCCTGAGGATCGAGCTGCCACCACAGTGGTTTTGCATAAGTTGCCTTCCTTTTATATAGTGTTCAAATTAAGGGTAGAAAGCACTGAAGTGTCATGGGTATCTTGTGTGCAGTTTAACTTAATTTTGCACTGATCACATTGAGCATGTTTCTTTTTTCCCTTCAGATGAATTATGAAGGGGAGGAAAGAGAACTATTGGGCTATATGTTCCAAGACAAGATTGCCATGGTGACTTAGTTTATAACATAAAATTGGAAACGGCTTCCTAGTGCATGTTGCTTACGGCTGTTCGCCCTTTAATTTTTTTTTATTTTTCTAAGAAAAAACTAAGCTATGCAAAGACCTACTAACTAAATATAACGAGATGTTACAAGCCTTTCAGACTTGTAGAGTTCTTTTTCTGGTCTTGTGCAACGCCAAGCATGCTGCTACAACTCAGTTATTTAAGACATGTAGGGCTCTTGCTTAACTAGCATGAATCTGTGGTCTTTCTAAGTCACTAGATTTTTTTTTTTCCATTTGAACAGAATTGACATTTCTTCTAAAGATTGTTAGTAAATGTAGGCCAACTTTCAGGCAAGTAGATAACATCAGCTTTTTGGGTAAGAGAAGCACTGGAGGAAAATCACCAGCATGCAAAATATTTGGGGAATTCAACTTCTTTTCATGAAAGAAAGACACAAAACCTAAATCTTTTGTTTCATATTCTGACAAGATCTTATTTGAACATAGTTGTTAACCAAATAAAGTCAGAAAACCAAAACTTTCTAAGTCCTAAATTTGAAGTTCTTATGCACAAATAAATTATTTTGTTTAGTGTTTTACCTTTTTAAAGGAATATTTAAATGGTTATGCTAGCAAAAAATAATTCATCTTTAATGTCTGGAAATTATTTAGTCAAGCTTTATTTAGTCAGCATTTTCTTCTCCTTAGATATTCCTCAGGACAGTTTTTAGCCAACTTTAAATGTGTTTTTTTCCAAGTTAAGCGGGTACGAACTTTAATTCCTGATATCTCCTATTTGTAGCCCAACTTGAGATATATCAGTAACTGACAACATTTTAGAAACATTTTCTTGTCCTTCCTAGCAAACCCCTCCTTATGAAATTCTTGAGGGTCATCTTGAGTTTCTTTCCACATAACTTAAGCCTTTGCTGTTCTGTCACTGGTGCCAGGTACATGAGCAGCCTTTCATGCTCTGAGCTGAGTGGTTGCAATCTGGGCAAACGATGGTTTGCTCAGGCAGATACGTGTTGGCTGGCCTGCAGTGCAGCGGTGCTCACACTGCAAGCCACTTGTATTCTGTGGGGCTCCTGAGGGCTGCAAAAAGAATAAAAGATCTCGAACTGTTGAGGGCTGCTCTTGTTGCTCTTAACAACTGCCAAAATTTATTTCTAGTTAATGAACTTTGGTTCTGTGGCTCTAAATGCTGCTGTATTGTGTAACAGTRTATAGTATACAAGCAATTTTTGATTCATGTTCTTCCTTATACCTGTCGAATGCTGAAAAAGCATTAACCAACCTMCAGTACAGTAGTTAGGCAGCTTTTTTTGTCAATGATAGAAAGTCTTGGAATCTTTTTCAATAGAAGTGATTTTGTGCAGGTCTTGAGCACCTTAGATGCTACTAGGTGAGAACAGCTCACATTGCTCTTTTTCCAACCTTTTTTTTCAGCAAAAATACCTATCTAGGTAGACATTGCAACATCAATATGTGCCCTGCATGCTTATGGCATCAAAGCACCAATTCTGTAAAAGTCCACTTTGATGTTTTACAAGCAGTCTAGACTCAAATGGAGGCACAAGCTTGAAGGATGGGCTCTGCTGCCTTGTGGTGCTTCTAACCTTATTTTGAAAGCCTGTTTTTCCTAGATAGAAGCATGTTTGTGCCCCTATGCTGAGCCAACTAATGAGCAAGTAAGTCTTGAAAAGCTTTTAAATCGTTCTCCTGCCCAAGACTGACTACTTCTTTCTGGCTGGAGATCCTAAGAAAACATGTTGCAAATACCTTGGTGCAGGTGGCTTGCTTGAGCTGGTAGCATAGATGTTGGAGAGGCATCCAAATGATATGACTATTTTCTTATCTTTTGCAGGTTCCCTTTCTGTCTCCATTGGAAGGCCATATATATCTCAAATTAAAATGTCAAGTGGACTCTTCTGTGGAGGAGAAAGGGTTCTTGGTAAGATACAGACTTAAATGTCTTAGCTTAGAAATAAGTGGGCTTATTAAAAATAACTTTTTTTTTTAACTTCACCCATGGATTTTTTAATGAAAGTGAGCTTAAAGCTGGTTTGATTTGTCTACCCAACAAACCTTTAAACTTTCCTAGTTTATCTTCTATATCAATTTAATTAAAAGTTTCCCTCAGCATTGTTGTTGTAGTAAAACGTTAGAATTCAAAGATATTTTCTTCTAAACACTAATCATTTGTTATCTTGACCTGCAGTTAGTACTGTATCACTTTTAAAATAATGCTCTAACTGGCCTTAATTACAGTTGCTGCTTGGGCTTTATAGTTGGTGTTTGAGTTTGTATCCAGCAGATGGCAGTAAATGTGCCGTGAAAAGACAAAGCTGTGGCATCTGTTGTGTCTGCTTGTATTCATAAATTGATATTTCTCTTAGAATTTTTTCCCCTCAAGCAGTTCTTTGTGCTTCCTTACCTTTTTTTAAACAACATTGAACTGGTGTCTATAAGGACATAAACCGTGCTTACTGTCTCATGGTTTTGTGCACTAGTTGATTTTGTCACTGTTGTACAATACGTAAAAACTGAAAATTGTGCACATTCAGGTGTGTGGTTTTTCTTTTCCTCCCCAGAGTGAGGGGTTACATCTTAAGATGTATGATCTGAACAGCAAAGAGTAGAAACTGCAGTACAGAGAGCTTAAGTAGAAGAAAATGCTCTGTACGGGTTCAAGAGGGATCAGGGGAGCACAGATACTAAACTTTCCATTCCATGATCAAGGAAATGTTCCTGGAAATCTTCTGATCTTGCCTTAAATCAAATAAATTGCCAATATAAATAATACAAATCAGCTACTTAAAATTCTGAATGTGTCTTACAGAATAGCCCAAAATGCTGCATTTGAAATCCTGACTTGCAAGTCAGAGGACTATCTAATTATGATGACTTGTGTTTTTATACTAGAGAATATTTTATTACCTTATTTAGTCAGTATCTAATAAAAGTAACTGTCTGATATTCTAAAATAATTTGGAGGATCCAGCATTGTCAATGCCAAAATCTCCATTTAAAATGGCAGCAACAGGTACATTTTGAGCATAAGGCTACAAACTTGAGATAGGTAGTGTAAACTCATTTTCTAAGCTACCTGGAAAATATATATGCTATATTAACAGAGTTCTAAGTTTACTGCCACTAAGGGTTATACCAGCTGAACCATCTTGGTAGAGAAAAAAATGGTAGCATGATCCAAACTCAAAGCATGAAGTTCTTCCTTTCTTTCTCTTCAGACCATGTTTGAAGATGTGAGTGGCTTTGGAGCATGGCATAGGCGCTGGTGTGCCCTCTCTGGAAACTGTATTTCTTACTGGACGTACCCGGATGATGAAAAACGGAAGGTAGGGCTGTTTAATGATTAAATGGGAGGTGGGGAGGTGTCTGTATGTGCCCCTGCTTTAAGGGTGAGGGAAGTTCAGTTGTGCTTTATGAAACTAGCCATTCATTTTTAATGGTAGTAACATGGAATAAAAGTGGGAAGTATATTTAAACATGAGATTCAATCTCACAAAGGTTTTCTTGGGTGATAGGAGAGACTTGTGGTCATAAATGTGACCTAAATCGAGGCAAATTCAGAAACAGATAATTTGATCTGTTGRGGAAAAGCAAAAGTGAAGAAGGATCTTTATTTAATATTCCTTTTACGTTAAGGCTTTCCTTTACATTTGTCAAATGACTTAGTGATTATTTAACTTAAACTGATACAGGCTTTTGTAATAAGCAGACTATATACAGTTGCATTAGGTTTTAGACAAAAATGTTAAATTTAAACATTTGTAACGAAGAATTAGTGGGCAATCCTTTTATYCTGTGGAAGCACAGCTGTGCTTCAAGTCTATCATATTTGCATTMACTGTTTTCTTACAGTTCCCACTATAGCTAAAACTGGCCTGGCTGGTGAATCAAATCAGAGAGGTTTTATGTCTCTCGTGGACTTCTTGTCTTCATAGTGTCTTCCTGCAATGTGTACCAAAGTATCTTCAGCTCCTGTTAAGGACTGCTTAAGCAATTTACTATTTCAGGCTTGGTTGTTTATTGGCACAACTCTTTCCCAAACTCTGTGGCAAAATCTGGTCCTTTTGGGTCTTCTATGCCTATCCTGATGCCTGAATCCTAGTTTTTTCCTGCTAACAGAGGAAGATCATATGCTGAAGGCTGACATTTGCCAAAACATACCACTGTACTTTCTCCCTCTGCCAGGAGAGAGGAAAATTCTGTCTTCTGTAATAAACAACAGGCAAGAAAAATGAGTTGGATGAGGAAGTTTCCTATTCTGTTTCTAGCTATAGGAAAGAAGCTTTGGGTTGCTTCCCAGTTTGTTTCCCATGGTTGTACCAATAGCCCAACTTGCAACCATTTTCTTGATTAATGTTTCTTGAAGCAGATTTTTTCCTTTTTCCTGCAGCCTTGGTTATATCAACTATCTGTGGAATAGTATGGAGAACATGCACAATAAATAGCAAGCTTTTTTTCTGAGCTAAGAGCTGCTAGTGATGCTTYCCTGATGAGGCATTCTGTAGGTGTGATGAATCAGATCCAAGGTCTGTAACTAACTTTAGGCATCCAGCTGAGCCTCCCTAGATAGTGGAAAGAGAAAACTGCCTTGATTTGAAATGCCCTGTGAAGGGGTTGAGCTGCTGGCTATAGAGGGAGCCAGAGCAGCTGGACTCTGAACTTAGGTGCCTTTAGCTGCATGCTCAAAGATAAATCTCTCTGCTCAAACACTTGGATGAGAATGAAACAAACATCACTGGAGGGGTTGATTTCTCTATGTTTTGACAGAATTCGCTCTATCAGTTTGAATTTTCTTGGATTTGGAGGTTAAAAGACAGACCCTTTTTGTTTCTTTAAAACAAAGCAAAGGCGGGGGAGTGTATGTACATATACGTGTATGTGTAAAGGTAATTCTGCAGAGAGGAATGGATTTGTTAGCTACATTGTGGGTGGCAAAGCAGAGTGTGTTCTATTGTCTGCAGTATTCTGCTTCAGCCATGGTTGTTGTAAAGGTGGGAAGTGCAATCCCTTTTACATATGGAATAAATGGATTTTTAATTTGTTTTTCCTTTAATATATTGAAAATTATGAAAGCATGTACCATGCAAAGTCTGGATTGCAGTATTGACTGAGCTCATGTCCCTTGCAGCATCCCTTGGGCCGGATCAACTTGGCGAACTGCACTAATCGCCAGATTGAGCCAGTCAACAGGGAATTCTGTGCCCGCCCCAACACGTTTGAGTTGATAACTGTCCGTCCTCAGCGGGAAGATGACAGAGAGACTCTCGTCAGTCAATGTCGAGACACGCTCTGTGTCACAAAGTAAGTGAAAAATCATGATGTTTGTGTATGTTGTGCGTATGGTATCTGGTATCTTAATGGTCTTGAAGAAGTTAACACTTGAATGATGGACTTAATTGTGACATTGTAGCTTAATGACTCTGTGCCAGTCCAAAGCTCGTCTATGCACTTTAAGATTCTGGGATGATGCTTAAGCTGTTTTGTTCACCTTTAGTCCTATTTTGCCTACCATTCCCCTTCAGGCTCCTCAGAACAAAGGAACTGACTTCATTTTCAGAGTGAAAATGCCATGCAGCTCGGTCCTCTTTCGCAGAACTATGTAGACTTTGATTTTTGTTTCCCACCACCATCCTGACTTGAGCTTCCGTTAAGGAATCAGCTTGACAATTTTCAGGATAACTAAGCTGAGGTGGAAAAAAGCAGCTATTACATTCCTGGGATTCTTTGTTTTCTAGGAACTGGCTGTCCGCTGATACTAAAGAAGAGCGTAACCTCTGGATGCAAAAGCTTAACCAAGTTCTTGTTGACCTTCGCATGTGGCAGCCCGACGCCTGCTACAAACCTATTGGGAAGCTTTAAACAGTGTAAGGGAAATCTTGAGAAAATACCTGAAAATCCCACGAACTGCACAAAAAGAACATGCTAAGAAAATGTGTGGAAACCAGTCTGGGTTATTGAAAATGCTTTAAACGTGAGAGAGCATATGCCATTATACAGGATTATGTTATGCAGTATTTTTATTTCACTTTAAGAATTTTTAAACTCTTCTTAACATTTGTGTATGAGAGGAAGCAACTAGTTGTTTCTGAATATGCTAAGTATTTATGCAACTCCTCCTTTCTTGGAAATTTTTTAGCTAAGTACTGTCTCCTCTTTCTGAAACAGCTAAACTCTTGCAGGAAATCACACTTCTGAAATAAAACCTAGTTTAAAAAGTAAGTTTACTAGAAAACTCAGCTCTCTAAAAAGGAAGAAAGCTATGAGTTCTTTAACAAGCATGGTGCTGAAATGGGCACTTGATGTTGGAATATTCTTTTGTAATGATCAGGCATAAAAGTTGCTAGTACATTTTGCTCTACAACATGCAATATGGGTATCTCTTGCTTGCACAGTGTTCTTGTGGTCAGAAYAAAAGAAATATATTCAGAGCTCTTGAGAATTTATTTGCCACTTATCATACAAAYTGGTAGGGATAAATGCGTGGTGTGTGTGCTATATGGTTTACAGGTGTGGAATTATGTATGCAGTATATTGCACTTTCATAGCAAGGAAAGGTCTTGAATACTTTGCTAGGACCTCTATAAAAAACTTAATTTTAGTGTTTTTACATGTCAGTTTTTCCTCGAACTCCTGGTTTGTACAAATCGGATTTCTGCACCATTCGAGAACCAGGAATGTTGTAAAATTATTTTCTCCATAAGACACTACAATGCTGCTGTGTACCAGCTAATGCTCTGCTGGTTGAAGTTTGGCTCTTCCTCCCGCTCATAGATATGTCCGTAAATGCAGGTAAGAATTGTATTTCAGACCATCGTCAGAATGGCAAAACTATTCAATTAAAATCAAATTTGCAATTTTTGCAGCTTTTCACTGGCTTTAGTGAAATACTGTCTCATTACCTCGCTATTGTGAATGCAATAGTGGAACACTTAAAACTGCCATTGCTGTTATATTTGCAGTTGAAACACTAAATTCTGTCAGCATTACTGTTATCATCCTGCTATTTTTGTACTATTGCTTTTAAATCTAGTTTTCTTTTTCTGATATCTTTAAATATTTCCAAATTATGTATTGAGATTTATTTTATTCCCTCAAAATAAATGATAAAATCTTTTAAGTTTTCTCCTAGTGTAATATATACAGTTAAGGCRCTAATCTGTAGGGAGAAGAAGAAAAGCTGAACTTCACGTACCTTTTAGCACAGAATTCCATTCAGTATGTGTATCCTGAAATACAGGTTGGTTTGGAAAGACAATGGGATGTCTCGGGGGTAACCAGCACTAAATGTTTGAGTTGGAGGCCAGATTGCCATTGGGTGATAGTTGTAAACTAGCTGGAATGTATTGGAATTTATGTGAGCCTAGAGCCCCTGAAAGAGCAAGTTTCCTATGCTGTTAACATACCTTAAATTTCCTGCAGGATCTCAATAAATATCCTCACATGTAAAATTTGAAAAATAAGTCAATAAAAGGAAGTTAAAATGGACGTGATGTGTATGTATAAGGGAGTAATACCCTTTTGTATAGGATTGGTATTTCTCTTAATCTTTCTTTTTCCTATTAATTGGGCTGTTAACCATTATAGAAATTAGTCTGAGTTTGTTCAGTACTTACTATAAAAAAGTTCTCATCAAGGAAATGTGCAAACTGTACAACACAAAATGTAACAGGTGATGGAAGTTAGAAAGCAAAGAGTGTCTGGTGTAAGGAGCTGACCTGGATGGTGAGGTCTAAGCATGAGGTGTCGGTGGTGATGGTGCTCCACTGCAGTCAGCAGAAGCCTGCAATGTTAGCTCACCAGCAGCCTCTCCTCGCCCCCAAAGTGACTTGGACTCCTGTGTGCCTTTCCCCATCCCTTTCACCCATCCAAGTGAGCTGTTCCGCAAAGCGGGAGTGGAGCTGTTTGCTTTCTGAGCTCTGGGGGTAGCAAGGAGTAAGGTGTATCAGGGAGGATGGTTTTTACAACAGTGCTTTTTGGCTGCTGCTGTGCTGAAGCCTTGATGAGCAGTGAAAGCAGAGGGGCTAGAGAACATCAATTTGATATCAACTTGTGCTCTATCATAACATCAAAAAGTGTGTTGTAGCCCACAGTCTTTGAGGTCTTGCATGCTGCATTTGAGTTTTTGCTACACTGCAAACTCGATGAGACKGCACTGTTTGATAGAGCTTCAGAGAAGCTCCAAGCAGTGAGAGCTTTCAGCTCTACAGGTCATTTCCTTTCCATGTTTGTAGCTGATSTCTTCTGGAAGAGGCCAGACCAAATCAAGTAAAATAATTTCAAGTAGCTATAGATGTAGTTCTAAACATCAGAAATAAATGTTTCTACTGTCTTATTTCAAACAGAGTCTTAAGTCTTTACAAATTGTTTTGGGAACAGCAGAATAACAAGAAAAAAATCCTATTCATGCTTTGGAACKAGCAAGTACCATAATCCCCTTGTATTTGTATGTTTAAATCTGGCAGGGGACTTTGAAAGACCATTTCTTCTGGAAATCTATTCTGCTGCACAGTTGTAATATCATGGAAAGACTTAAGTCTCCAGTTTTTCCTGTGCGTTTCCAAGGATCAGGAGACAGTTACCAGACTAGACTGGGAATAGCCTGTTCCTGCTTTAGAATTAGTGGGCTGCTTTCAGGACAGTTGGTTGGAGTATGGGGCACGTTGTTRGAATGGCACCAGGAAGCCATTAATGATGGAAGATGCAGATATCTGGCCATTCTTCCCGTTCTTTGAAATAACAGAGAAATGTCATGGTTGTAAAAGGTGATGCCTTCACAGGCCTACAAATGCATTTTTATTCACAAGTTGTTTTTACAGTAGTTACAGATCAAGTTGCTGTGTACAACCTAATTTTAATGCTGAACTGCAGAGATTTGCCTCTGAGGAGTGAGAAAAGAGTTTGGCTAGTGCTCTTTCACCAACAGCAAGCCCATTTCATGAAATCCCTCACAAACCCTTACAGCCTCAGATCTGGAGTGATTGCACTGCTAGCGCTACCCCGAAGAGCTTCGGGGTTCGGATATGGAGCAGGGTTCAGGTTTTCTTTCCTAATTGAGAAGTCATTTGAAGGAGAAACTTTTCATAGATGCTCACTAATAGGAAGGCTATAAATGGAACGTGGTGTGCTCTGAGCCATGAAGCCTCTCTTAGCTGAGGAAGTTTCAGTTTTGCTGGCTTGTAAAACTCCTAATTGCTGTTATTAGAGCTGAACTCAAATGGAACGCAACAATTTGCAGTGAGAGTGCCTGGAAATTTGGCTGCCTAAAGTTGTCTTTCCTTCCCCACTCCATCTTCCCTCTTTAATTGCTGTGCTTCCATATTTTGGAATTCTAGTCTTAGAAAAAATGCAGTAGTGCCTGCCTTAACAAAAATAAAGGATCTAGGATGGCAAAACAGATGCTTCAGTCAAGACAAGGATGCAAGTCATCCTCTGCCTATCCAAGATGCTCATCAGCTGCATCTCCAGTGGCTGGGGCACTCAGGTGTAAGACCAGGCCTCTTGGCTACTTCTGTAGCTAAAGGGGTGGATCATATGGGAAGACACCCAGTGTTTTRAGCACAGAGCAGATCCAGAGCAAAGAGCAGCCTGAGTCTGTGCCTTAGTAAATTTAGATGTTTTGTCACATTAACACTCTACATTTACCAGATAATTTTCAGTGTATGGTTAGTGCCTGTTGCATCTTGCCTGATAATAGGAAAACTACAAATGCTTCACTGTTATTAGGGCTCCAATAAGTAGAACRAACTGTCTAATTTTGATTTCTTTCTCCCGTTATCCCCTTGGGAAAGCTGGTCAAAGAGCTCCTGGTCGTTCTGAACTCTCCACATGAAGTAGTGTGGATGAGGACTGTTTGTTATCCAGTGATTTCATAGGTCCTCTGTAGAAGGAACAGGCCGGGGCTTATTGCGCTTGTTCTGAGCAAGTAAAAAGGTACCAAAGCGTTAAAAAAAAAAAAAAAAAAAAAAAAAAAAAGCAGCCTACTGTAAATACATGAAGGGCTGTCAGGCTTCTACCTTGTAAATGCTGGGAGAAAAGAACCTGTGCCTGTTGAGGCTGAACTAACACTCCCAGGCAAATCAGAATTGTGGTGCCTTGTTATTCCTGGCACGCTTTAATAAGCAAATAGCAGCTAAATAATGTATTGACAGCCAGGGTAATTACATATACACAATCTAGAGCAACATAATGAGTTTGGGKTTTTTTTTCCTTTTTGGGATCAGATTAACTGTTGAAATAGTGTAAGTAGAAGCCCAGAAACATGTTCTTACAGCAGAGGAAKTAGAACTTGGGCTAGGTATTTGTTGCAAGGGAGGAAAGTCTTGTGGAGTTGCCACCCAGGACAATAAATGGCCTGGCTGGCAGGCATCCTGTCACTTTTATTCTTGTGGCTCCCCAGTGAGAGCTTGAGCTGCTTGTGCCGGCGGGTGGCTCCACAGCTCGGACACAGCCTTGGAGAGGGGGCTGCCGTGGTATCTTCATGGGCTCTTTGTGCTGCTCTTTGGGGGCAGGAGGGGGAGAAGTCTGACTTGGATATCTGGTGCCCTCTTCCATCTTCTTCAGTCTTGAATCATCTTGCTTCCTTGAAGGCCCCGGGAAGCAGCGCCGTGCACGTGCAGCTGGGCCCCGGCCCTTTGGAAATCAGTGTCCGCCCTGATCTTGGAATACGGCCTCGATCTGGCTGTTGAAGGGGTTCTCCTTTCCGAGCACCTGGGGCCATTCGTGGAGCGCCTTCTGCCAGGTGATGCTYGTTCCGAGCGCCGCGGCGATCTGCAGGGGGCACAGGGACCGTCACTCCCGAGCACTGCTGCTATGTCCYCGCTTCAGCACAGCACTCTGCAGAAAGCAACCTCTAACCAAAGAAAACACTTGCTTCCAGCTGCTTCAGCAGCTCACAACCCACCAGAACAATAAAAAAGGGAGGATCACATATTTGCCCTTCTCTGACCAAAGCAAGGACTGGATTTATCAGCAACAGCCTGATGACTTCTTTCCTGTAAGATGACAGGTTGTCTCTGATTTTTTTTTTAAATACTTCATTGAACCAGCCTTGTTTTTAAGCTACTCAGCATAAAGAACAATTGGAGTTCAATACAGCTCTGCATCCCATTAATGTGTTGTCTCCGATGCAAATTACTTCATCAATTACAGAAAAATATACCTATAACACAAGCAGCCAGCAAATCCTACAGCCTCGTGGCAATCTCCAACTTATTGCTCATGCCTATAATGCCTGTTCCCAAGTCATGGGGGCTGCTGCTATTTTTCCCTCTTTAAGCATTTTGAAAGAATTTCAGAAACACCACTTTGATATAACACACACATCTCTTGCAAGGCAAAAGGATTTCGGGCTCCTAAATTCTTCTCATACCTCTGATAAATTTTCTTTCCACTATCCCATTTGGAAACCAGGGGGGTTAGGAAGAAGAGGCCCAATTATATGGAGGTTCAAAATGAACCTGCTATGATTGTCTGAGTTCACACCTGCTACTGCTTGGCTTCACAGCCTCCTGCCATGAGAAGTGCAGAGAGCTGTTAAGCAGCTTTTCCCTCCAGAGCAGAAGGGCTCCGACTTGCATAGAGGGTTTGCCCTGGAAGTCTCGCCCAGAAGGTCCAAGAATCCCTTCTGCAGTACTGGCAGGATGAAGAATATCAAGGGGAGGGGAAAGGGGCAAGAGAATGGCCTGATTCTCCTTCAGCTAAGTTTTTGCATCAAGTTAATGCATTTTTTTTTTAATGTAACTTCTTACCCTTCTTATCAGAGGTTACCCTTCTGATGCAAAAGCTTGTTCTCAGATTAGTCAGGATTGAGGTTTAAATAGGGCTAGCAAAGCTATTTGTTAAGGGAGAAACTGTATTGGAGAACAGACTAGGGTGCATGTGTGCACGTTTGTGTTTTTTTCATGTACCACTTTAAAATACTATCCTTTTGGAAGGAGCTGTAATGATGGGCCAGGAGACCAGAACTTCTTATTCRGAGCTCATATACCAAGATCCACAAGCGTGGGGTGGAAGGTCTTGCACTCCAGTCACTTGAGGTTTCATTAAACTAGCAGCAGTTTTGGCGCAGAGGGTAGGTGGGATAATGTGAAAGTTTCTCCTGCTCCCATTTCCTAACACAACCAACCACATTTTTCTTTAGGAAGACCTATTGCTTCCCAGGCTGGAGATCTCTCAGCATCAGAATGGCCCATTCTGGCCTCCCATGCACCCTTACAACCCCCTAAGCCTTCCCTGTTTTGCTTTGGCAGGGAAGCTGGGTTTGCTTTTCTCTTTTAAGCAGTTTTTCTTGCATGATGCAGCCTCTGGAGCGGGATCCCTAGAGCTACACTCTGCACTGCTTGGACCGCTCGTGACTCCAGGTTAGGGTGTGTATGCCTGGAATCCTAAACTGCAGGTCCTGCCCAGAAGGAGGGCTGAGATGAGCTACTTTAGAGGAGCAGTGTGGCCCTGAGAGGAATTCTTCATTCTAGAAATTACTTTTTTTGTTCTTTTTAAATCTCAAAGAGCTCAGCCTTCAAGAATAGCTGCAATTCATGGCTTTTTGCAGTCAAATTTTTGTGAGGGTAATGTTCTAACCAAAATTTAAGGAAATCTTGAGCATTTCCAGTAGGGAAAGGGGGAGGTGGAGGTTATTTGAGCAGCTTCTGCCTGTCTACTTTCTTCTCTGCCAAACTGGGGATGAGCTCCTGCTTCAGCAAARTGTAAATAAACAACTAATCTGGTGTATATTTGGGCTTTTTTTTTYCCCCTGTTAGGAAAGTGGGTTGCTACGACTTGAGGAAGGAGATGAGGGAGAAGCTACTGGTGCCCCAGCTGGGCTCTGCTGCGGGTACGTAAGCACCACGCTCCCCCAGCTCAGGCAGCTCAGGGGGGTTCATGAGGCTGGGGCCTTTAGCAGCTTCTGCAGTAACTGCGTAAAGCAAGAACTGCAGCCGCTGCTGCAGGAGGCTCCGGCAAGGCCCAGCTGTGCCTTGCAAGCACAGCAATAAGCTGGAAAGCAGCRTGTGCTGAAAGGCAGCTGCCACACAGAGGGGGTTTCACTGAGGTTTTTCACAGGAAAGAGGACAAGTCCTAAGGCTCCTTGTGGGGCCAACAGCGGGAGAAAGCCACATTCCTTTGGGAGCTGCCTGAGCAGGGCCTCGCGTGGCTCTCCCAGCCACCCACCCATGGAATTAGGGAGACCTCATGTCAAGAGCCAAGGTACAAATTCCCTGCGCCAAAGGCCTGATCTCTGGGCTGGGCGGTTTGGAAAACTCAGAGCTGCCTGTTATCTTTGGAACCGAATACAGAGAGGGTTAGGCCAAGAAGGGGTGTTAGTTTGCAGCCTTCTGTTGTGTGAGGTTAAAGAAACAGCCAAGTAGACACCTGTTCTTCACAGGAAACCTTCAGTAAGAGAATGTAACTATGGCCTTGCTTGAATAAATGAGCACTTGGCCTTTAGCCCTCTTTCAAATAGTTTTAAATATAAAATGCTCTCTGGAGTGTGGACTAGGGGGATTCGTTTTGCTGCTTGAGCGTCCCAAGTTAGTCTTTTTCTACCTCATGAACAACCAAAACAGCTCTAAGAGGAGAAATGAAGTGCTGCATTTTCTTYCTCCTTAAAGCATATGCACAAGATGTAATGAAGCAGGTTCAATTCCMATCTGCCTTCTTCATGTTATTAACTGTAGTGCTGGGCTGCAGGACACAGCTGCTGGCGGGGATGTACAGGCTACTGCTTTGCTACTTCCACTTCTGGGTGGGAGGGAGGCCAGGGCAGTAAGGGGCGAGAGGTGAGGGGTAGCTCTCAGAGCTGGCACCTGTCCCACAGCACCAAGGGGATGTGTTATCCCTCCAGCTCGCCCTGGCCACACAGGGACCTCGCTCTGTTCGCATCCCAGCTCAGAAGTTTTGCTATGTCCAGCACAAGACCCGTAATGTTTATCATGTTTACATATTCCTTGGAGTACTGGGACCTCAATTCAAATGGTGTTGAGTACCTCAAGTGCTTTCAGATCTTTGCAGAGAAGGTTCAGTGAAAATGCCCCAAACCATATCCTATCTATCATCCTTATTTGCCAAAACGTACCTAAGGAGAGGGGGAAGAGCTACAGAGCTTGAAATTAGAGACTTCATTCATTTGACAAGCTGCGCAGCATCAATTCTCTCCCGCTAGGGAGAACTACATGGGTTTAAAGCAGTGCCTGACGAGAGGCGTTCATGTTGGAAAAAAGTAAAACTTAAAAAAAAAAAAAAAGAGGCATAAAAAATGAGGAAATTGAAAAAAAAAAAAAAGAGGCATAAAAAATGAGGAAATTGTTTCTCACTCTCAAATGTACTCTTAAATATTGTTCTATGATCACACTTCTTCTCTCTTTCCCTTCTCAAAATGTTTTAGGGTGGAAGGGACCTTTGAAGACTGCCTAGGCCAACGACCCTGCCCAAGCTGGGTCACCTGGAGCACTGATTTTGCACTGATTTTTATTAGGCTGGCCTCTCTTCCAGAGCAGAGTGCCAGCACTAAGGCTAATTAATACCTATGGAAGTGCAGTAACTCACTTGGTGTGAGTGGCTACAGCTGGCTCCTTGAGCGCAAGAGAAAAGGCACCAACAACAGCATGAGCATTGAGGAGCAGCAGCAGCAGGAGRCTGTAAAGGCTGCGGATGCCAGTTCCAGGGGGGATGGAAGGGGGATGACCAGGTGCCCCGGCTGCATCCCGCAGCTCGGCAGGGCAGGAGCCTGTGGCTGCCCTGGAGGCCGTTCTGCCAAGCCCTGTGGGGCTCAGAGCAGCCCCTCCAGGCCAGCCCTGCTGCGGCCGCAGAGCTCTGCGACRTGGGCACTGCCGGCCCCGCTGCCCCYGCAGACCTGCTGCCACTGGCGCCTGTCAAACACCTCGGGCCGGGCACAGCATATGCAATAAAAACCATCCAAAGGCTTTTTTTYCTCCTGCCTCTCTGCACCACATTCCTTCCATCACACACTTCCCGCAGATGGTAGGGTTGGGAATAGGGCTCGTTTTATTGGTGTTCTCCCTCTCATTTCGTTTGCCAAGTTTTCTGTAACTGCTTTGTTTCCAAAGGCCGGCAGTGGAAAATCCGAACGCAGCTCTGCGTGGCCTCGGGCTGCGAGCGCTCTTACGCAGCCCTGCCTGGAGCCCAGCAGGAGCAGGGAGCAGCTACCTTGGAGGCAGTGCGAGGGATTGCGGTGCCGGGCTCACCTTATTGCAGCCCCAGAGTATCCTCGAGGGATATCCGCTCTGGCCCATCCCCTGTGTAACTGGGGGCTGCCTGGCAGAGCTTTCCAAACAGAGGCAGACAAGGATGCTGGCTCTGCTGCTGAAGGGCATCTCCATCAGCTTCTTCCCCCACTTGCTGCAATTCCTTTGCTTGTAATGTAGCTGAGAGCAACTCTAGCTCAATCGCTGCATAAGAGCCAAGACTGTAAACACAGGAATTGGGTTTACCTGTTGTCAACTGATTAAATTGCTTTAAGACATCAGCTTTGCTTGAGCCATTGGTGGCTTGCATCATGACCCTAGGGCTTCAAGGGGTTCTAGGAAACAAGCTGCCCTGGACAGTTTAATTTCATGTCCTAAATTGTCTACTTCAAGGTGACAATGTCAGGACCTCCATTTTTAGGGGGCCTGGATTACTCAATGTCTCCTGCTAACTTTGATGCTGGCTGGGGTGGAGAAGGGACAACTGCAACAAGGCTGACTTGAAAATTCAGGCATGACTTTGTTGGGGCTGCTACAGCTTGTGCACCACTTTTGAGCTCGCAGAGGGTTTTCCTGCGGGCTGTTTTAGGAAGACTGGCTGCTGTGTTGCAGGTGTCTTTGAAACCTGAAGCTGGAGCATGGAGAAAGGATGGTTTGGTTTGCAGCTCATCCCAAAAGGTGCTCATTAGCAGCCTCTTACAGGGCCAGAAGAAGCGACTTTGCAGGCAAGTGCAGTGGGAACCAGGCATCCTCGTGGTAGGCTGGTGTGGCCTTACAGCCCTTACAGCTCTTCCCTTCTCCCTCCTTCCTGACCAAACCCCAGCCCTGCCACCCGCAGTCCTTGGAGGCCAAGCAGCCCAAGATGTTGCTCCTCGGCAGCTGCATCTGCAGAGCTCGACCCGCGCGTTCCAGCACCAGTTCCCTGCCGGCACCATGGGCTCTTACTGAAGACACCTCCCTCGTCCCAGCCGTGGGACAGGCGGCTCCCGGGGGCGCCGGATACCCTCCTGGGAGCCAYGTCCCCCATTTGGAGCTGCGTTTTTACCTGGCTGGGGTGGAAGCCGTCGACKGGCTCGATGAGCTGCCAGGGCTGGCCGCCCATGCGGCGCCACTGCTCGGCCGCTGCGGAGCAAGGAGCACAGGTCAGCGCCCGCCTCGCCCCACGCGCCACTCACACCTTCCTATCAGGGCAATTATATAAAGGTATCAAAGTGCCACCCCCTTTCCCTTGAGGCAGCGCCTCCGCCCTTGCTGCTATTATTATTATTGTTGTTGTTATTTTTAATCCTGGCTATTTATGCGAGGAAGCTCTTTGAACATAAGCGACTGTAAAACGATTTGCTTTGTAGCCAGCGCTGACGCCATGGCAAGTAATGCCATAAATTATTTAATGCTGATGTAATACTTTTGCATGTCTCATTTAGGCTGCATCCTCAGCAGAGCAGGAAAAAAAAAAAGAGAGAAGAAAAAGAAAAGATAATAAAAGATAAAGGGAGCAGGGTTTTTTATAGAAAGAGGTGCTAACACTATTCACATGGTCTTCAGGAACAGAATGTCATTTTCAGTTACTTCTCTTCTGAGTGGTCTTTTTCAGCTCTAACAAAAAGAATAACCTTTGTGAATTGCATAAGGATGCCTTTCAATGCAAATGATGCGGTGCTGTAAGCCCCAGAGCGATCAGAGGAGTAAAAAGCTTTCTCTCTTCAAAAGGGTTAGAGAATGATCAAACCTTGGACGAGTGGATATGGCATTAGCAGGCTCTAAATTCAGTAATTTCTTTTATAATGATGGATTAAAAATTCTTAATAGCATTATGCAGGCATCCTGTCAGGAGAAAAATGTTCTCCTTTCAAATACATTTTTGATTTAAATTCACTTCTGTTTGCTGGACTCTGTTGTGTCAAAAAGTGATGCCCAGGTCCTCATTTTAACTTTGAATCCATAGATTTTAGTGCTAATATTCCTATTTTGACAAAAAAGAAAATAGATATGAGGTCCTTAGTTCAACACCAAAGTAACCCATTTAAAGGCACAATGTTATTCCTGCTTTAAGAATAGAAACAAATGTGAGATCTTTAATTTAACATCAAAGCAACCTATGCAGCCTCTAAAAGGCAGAGTCTTGGGGGCTTTTTTTCAAATTTACAATACATGAGACATATCTTATCCATAGGGTCAACTTGTCTATATCATTAAATAAAATATTATATACTGAGTATGAGACTGTATATGGTGTTTTGCTTTGTAGAGGGGCTACTGTCCAAGCACCAGAATGAGTAAGTGGAACCCATCTATATTACAATAAGTGAATACGATCCAAAAACCCTAGAGTAGTCCTTATCTTCAGTCAGATAAGTCCAGAGTTAGTCTTAAAAGTGCCTATTGCCTAAACTAGGGTAATGCTTGCTCACAGCCCCATTAAGAAAAAAGCAAAATGATCAACCTCCTACCACTGTCTTTGCAGTCCTGCTTAAAGAAACTGCTCAGTTCTTCATCCAAAGCCAACATCTGACTTGAATATCCACCTAGTGCCCAAAATCAATTGCAAGAAATCCTGGAGCTTCTCATTTATATATATGGATAAATGTGGGTATATATGGATGCACAGGCCAGCTTGAAGTCAACGTACTGATCACAGCATGATGCTGCTGCTAAATATTTGATGTCTGGAGAGTCTAGGGAGGGATTTGCGCTTGCTTCAGAAAGAGACTGGAAAAGTAGGTCAGCAGCCATAACTTCCTCACAAGCACACTCCGGAGCTGACAGTTTTACTGACGGGAAGCTGAAGTTGTCCGCTCCAGGGCTGCAGGAAACTTTGCAAAGTGTCTTTCAGAGCTGATGTTTGTGTGTGCCTGCATGATTTTGTTTACCTCATTTATTTAATGCGATGTAATCACGAATGGCAAATTATATTAAGATGTTTCTTTTCATGAAAGCAAATAAATTACCTAAAGTTAGCAATTTAATTATTAAAGTAATTTGCCTACCCAGCAGGTAGTTTGTTCCTAATCTTAATGACTTGTTAAATATTAAGTAGCTGAGACAAAATTCACAAATAGACTTGGACATCCTGAACCTGCACTACGATATCTAACTAGACAGGGGTGTCCACATCTCTGAGCCAAAGTTTTGGACAGAGGGACCCTCCCTCCCATCATCTTTTACCTTCTTCTCCGCGGTCTGCATGAGTCCCAGAACYAGCTTTCTGAATTGGGTCATGCAAGTTTACCAGTTTTGATAGGATTTGACTGCAACGGAGATTTTTTTACAATAAAGTTAGGTGCCTTGACAGTTTTATGCTGCCAAGGACAGGCAGCCACTGACAGGGAAGGGTGTTAGGGATGCACATTTAACATCTCTCCAGAGCAATTCTGTCCCTTCAGAAATTCCTGCTTGCAGGTGAAGCAGGGCCCTGCACAGCAGTGCTGGGGGGAGAACGAGTGACACCAGGCCTTAACTGAACTTAATTGAAATGAGAGGATTAACCTGGGTTCTSTTACACGGATAGTGGCAAATAAATGGGTGAGTGTGTTTTGAAGTGCCAATTGCAGAAGGAAGTGATTTGGGCAAGCTGCTTATCTAATGACTCTTTCAAGATCAGGTTAGGAAGGGTTTTGCAAATTTGAGTTGCAATATTTTACAGGTACTTAAGGAAGCATAGGAAGAAACTAGTTCCTCACAGGAGAGGTGCTTGTGCTTTTTCAAACGCTGTGTGTGGAGAGGGCAGCTCTGTGGCTTGGGTAGGAGAAYTGGCTAGGAGAAAGCCCCCTTCCTGAGGCACTGGTCATTGAGAAAGCTGGGGTTCAGGTCATCCTGCAGCTCCCTGCGTAGGAGGTGACATCCCATCTTTAACACCCAACGTTGATGCCAAGCACCCAACACTCAACGCCCAACTCAAGCACTCAACGCTCAACACTCAACGCCTACTGCCTGGTGCTGTCATCTGCACCTGGATGCAGCGGTGCATTCACTGCAAGGGGCACCAGGAGAAGACACTTCAAGGCACCCTGCTGTCCTGCTGCCAGCGTTGCCCAGGCAGACTGGCTGCAGTGATGACACTGCAGCAGGGCTGCATATAAGCAGCATTATTAGCAGTCTGACACCAATGTCTAAATGCTTCTTGAGAGCAAATGTGAGAAAAAAATGTAACTTACTTTGTCTCAGTGGGAAATCCATGTAGAAGATATCAAAGTTGCTGAATTTCTCAGATCTCGCTATTTCTTTCAGGACGTTGGACAGTTGTGAAGCTCTCTGCAAAAAAAAAACCAAGCAGTTTCATGACAATTCATCACTGCTCATGCTGCTTTGTGTGGATTCAGATTTTGTCACTGATATGCAGTCAGGAATTTGAAAGCTAAGGCTGCCATTTTAACTGGAGGAAGGAAGTGAAAAGGGGTTTTTCATTATACCATACACTTATACTGAACCTCATTAGCCTTTGGGATAGCTTGTGATGCACTGCCTCACCGGAGATTGCAGTGAGGCCTCAGTGGATATAGTAAGGCTAATACAGCATATAGTTGTTTTATTAGACACTTCTAGCACTGTCCTTACTCCCCTATCATTATGAAGAATCTCATTTTCAGGGGCCTCGATGAACCAAATCATTTGCATTCTTCTTAAAGAAAACTGAAATTTTCTGTCCTTTCCCATTAGCCTTCCCATGTTGTGAGTGCTAACACTTCTCTATCCAGACCAAATTCTGTCCTCACTTACCACAAATCGAATTGTCTCCACTGGACCTCTACCTAAGCCATACATCTAGTGTAGTTTGTACAGCTATAACAGAAATCAGAATCTCCTAAATATTTAACATGCCCAGTTGGGATGATAACACAGGCAATTAGTTTCAGACAGAAACTCAGAAGGAAGATTAATTCATATCCTGCAGACACAGGAATTGTTCATAGGCAGAAGTTACATGTACAACATGTTGTGTTGTTTGCTCTATACGCTCTAAACCTGCAAAGATTTAGCAATGTGCTTATTTACCTTCTCTGAAGTCAAGAGGRAAGAGGCATAAAATGAAATGAATATGTAAATGCTGGGGAAATTGAGGATATATTTTTTACCCAGTGAATGCAAGCATTAATGTAATCACACAGACATGACATCTTTGACAATATTTGACTATTGACTCTTTTACATATCTGCAAAGGGGGAAGATTAAACATCTCCTAGCACTGAAGTGGACTTTGTGGCTGGTATTATGTGACATTTGCTTCTATAGCCAGATTTTTAGGGTGAGTTTTAAAAGGCATCTCTGCTCTGTCTGTTCCCATTCATGCGCTGAATCTAGATGCTCCTTGGTCAGACCATCTGGCGAGTAAGTCTGAACAAGATTAGCACAAATCCTGAATAAAGACAGAGTAAGGATCTTGCTGTCAGGGCCTGCTCCTGCTGCCAACAAAATCTATGCAATTGACTTTTTGTACTCACAGCTACTTGATTCATAAGCCTCTTCTCTCTTATTACACACATTTTCTTCTTAAAGAACAAGAACCTGAACATTTGGGTCTCAGGAAGATTGCACTGCTGGAGAATAAATCTGGAGGGCTGGGAAATCAGAACAAGACTACCCCTACAAATCCTTTAACTGTGCTATATTCTCAAGTTTGGGAGGTGTTTGAAGAGAACGAAATCACAGGTTTCCACATGCTTTCCCTATCTTTGAGTGAAAAGCCCAAGTGGACATCCTGGGCCTTGGATATGAAGTTTGCATCCCCAAAATACAGGTAGCGTAAATTCAAAGACTGTCAACACAGCCAAGATGCCTCCGTGCACCTTCACTGGACTTACCTCCGAGGTCAAGTTCCTGAGGGTTTCGTTGGAAGTCAGCCATCCACTGCAAGGACTCACCTACTCAAGCAAGGAGAGCCAGGCTTTAGCAGCAGACCAGCAGACAAAAAGGTAAGGGAAATCTCCCAAACTCAAAGAGGGTAATCTTACCTGCAGACAGTTTAGGAAAGAATAAAGTTGGCTGTATGTGACATCTTTGTTCAGCTGCCCTGTGAAACACAGAGAGTGAGTAACAGTGCATGCTTGAAGGCCAAACACAACGTTGCTTTAGGAGCCCCATCTGCCCATTCCTGTGCATCAAGCCAAGCTGAGGTCCCACTCTGAGGGTGCTGAAGTCCCCGGCAATCAGAGGGGTCACCCTGAGTTTCCCATGAGGGTGGTCATCCCCACAACCTGCAAAAACTCCTTTTTTTCTCATGTGTCTCTYGCCTTTCCCCATCAGTTCCTCTCGCACGAGGGCCTAGTCATGATTGCCTGTGCAACTCTCAGGGTATGCGGTTGATATTTGATCCATCACCACGTCTTTCTCTCTGCAAATAAATGCAGCCAGTGCAAACCCAGAGGGAAGGTTGGAGGTGACTGCGCGTGCTCTGAGCTTCGCATTTACCTCGGAGAGGTTAGCTTTAAAAGGGAGAAGCAATTTTCCTGTCACAGAGGGATGTGGATATGCCTGTGTGGGTGAGTGGATGCAACAACTAAGCTAAATATCCAGCTGAAAAATTCCCTGTGCTACACCATAGACAGGCTTGCTGAGAAAATTACTCGTTTCTCATGACCTTTATGCTTCTACGATAGCCACTGCCAGCTCAGAAATTAATTGACCACTCAATTTTCGGAGTTTGTAGCTCACCAATCATCCTGTCACACTTCATTATTTTTGCAACTCTGAAATAAGTGCATTTTTTGGCTTTGTGGTGGGACACAGTCTTCCAGCTCTTGGGCAAAATAGTTCACCCAGCTTTGGGGGCAGATACTACCTAGGCTGTGAGAGTAGAGTTTGGYAGCTGGAAGATCTCCTACACAGTAGGCACAGCTTCGATCCCCAGATCCTCACAGAGTGAAAACTTTGAGCTCTGGGATAGGCAGTTGGAATGCCCATGGAGCAAAGCCCTCAGATTTGGCTTGCAGGAGCCCAGGTGGGTAAAAACCTGGCAAAAAGCCTGGCAGACTTCTGATAGCAGCTGACCAGCAGCCAAGCTGGGAAGCCTGCTTGCAACTTGTTGGAAAAWCTGTCAGAAATGCCGTGTTGCTGAAAAATGTGTTGCTTAGGATTAATTGGTGCCCTCCAATGCAAATCAGGCTCTCTGAAAATTTTCCAACTGATCCGATAGCTAATCATTCCTCATTTGACTTGTGCCAAACATGCTATGTGTGATCGCTGATAATTAGATATCCGGTGGAAGGAACCACCCCTGTGATAAATATGCGCTCAGGCAAAAAAATGCATTTATGTGATTAAAAATAATTATCACAGGCTCCCTCTGTTCTGAAAAAGGCCTTTTTTTTTTCCTTTTTTTTTTTTTTTCTTTTTCTTCCTTTTTCGCTTTCTAGTGGTATAGTATAGGGTCATTGACAATAATTAACCCTGAAGGAAAACCACAACATAGAGCCCCCCGAAAGCATTAATGACACAGTAGTGTCAAAATCCTCTGAGGAAGTAATTCCCTGCTTAATGATATGATTTAGGTTCTCTCTCTCTCTCTTTGCTGGTGAAAACTAAGATTGCAACAACATCCCGCTTACTGACATGCTTTTGGTCTTAAATTTGACAGCAGAATGATCACTGGATCCGTATGCATTTGAGTGGAGAACACAGAACACTTTTTTTTGTTGTTTGTATAATTATTTTTGCTACCTGTATGAAATAGTTCACTTTAAAAAAAAAATTAATCAATTCTGGGATGACACTTATTTGGAACTTCCAAACTTCCTCATCCTCCAAACCTTTTGCTTTTCTAGGGAAATGTCTCCAAACTGACCTCAGAGGCATGACCAGCAGCCTAATCAGTATGGAATTGCACACACAGTTATAGGTAATTATATTTAATTTTGTGACCGTACTTCTCTTCATAGTATGAAGCAAATGAGCAAGATGCCTTAYAATTGCCAGATAAGACATTTTTATGCACCTTCTGAGTTGAAAGCTTCCAATTCTCTGAAAACATTATCTCAAAGCATTTCAGATGCACTTATAGGAAGCTCATAATTATACCTGTATATGATGCAAAGTTTGAATTGCAACACCTGCACATAGACTAGGAGATGGCAGACACAAATGCAAGCAGGGAATTTATTCCTGTAATATCTAATTGGTCTTTTGCAAATTCCTCAATTCTGTCCTGGGCTAGATCCAGCTTTATCAAGACATCTACACATCAGTAAATGGGGGTGTTCACTACACGATGATATCCACCTCCTCCTCTAACAACATCCAGCCCAGTTTGGGCTAAGACTGAGACAGAAGAGTTGCTTTTTTTTTTTTTCCTATTTTAATCCCTCCCAGAGCATGTGCTAAGCCTTGTTTGGAGCTCATCAGGTACTGGTTGGCAGTGCAGTATGAACATGAGACAGGACAGGGATCTGCCCTCTAGCTCCCTTGTCCTGCTTTGGAGGCCCCAAGCTGGCTTCCTTACTTCTCATTCACAGCCAATTTCCATCTCATACCTTTCAGATCTCATCCACTCTATTGTGTTTGCTTGATATTGTCAACAGACTCATAAAGTATTCAGTGAGAGAAGGAAACATGAGCAAACAGATAACCAAGAGAACTCAAAAACTCATAATTACCTAGAGGATGGTATCTGTCATGTAAATTATCCCACAGGAAGCGTCCATCTACTAAGCCTGTTAGGATCACGTGGCTGCCTTTTGGAAGACGAGTGTTGAGGAACTGCAGAGCTTGCACAACATTGGAGAGCATTTGTTTGGGAGTAGTCATGTGCGCCAATGTGTCGCGTTCCCTGCAGAAAAAGAGGATGTAAATGGGGAATTGTGTCAGGTAATGCTGCTCAGCAAGAGGTGGTTGAAATGGCAGCATATTCTTATCTGCTCTTCTGCCATATTAGGTTTGTTAAAGAAAACATTTTGAAAAGGACAGAGTGTTGTAGTGTTCGTTATTTCCAAAATCACAAGTGATTGATGTAAAAGCAGCCATCAGTGTAGCAAAAGAAAGTTTCTCTCATTTAARAAGAGAATTTCCTTTCCTTTTCAGTAAGTGGCTTCCATAAGAAAAACTTTCTGGYTTTATGGTAGAGCAATTCCATTGTTTTCAAATGACTGCACAGAGGGGAGTCAGTGCTATGAAGCAGGTGACATTAATATCAGTTACTCGTGGCATTAAAATCCATGTAAAACTATTCCAATGCCGCTTGTGCTTTACTTTTGGTAGGCTGCAGATATTGCAAAAGAAAGGATTATTATTCGTATTGAAGACTGCCAAGGAACATCTAAATTCTGTAGGAAATAATAGCATTTGTGTTTCAAAGTGGCAGTATCTTCCAAGTCACTCATAAACCAGTGGCAAGRCTTACCTGAGAGAGGGCCCTCCTCTGCCTTAGTGTTCATAGCACTGAGTATACAACCAGGAACTTGTCCATTGGAGGTCATTAGAAATCCATTACTTTTAATGATTGCAAAGACATTGACCTTGGTGTACTTGTCAAATCCCAGCTATTCACATCTGATTGTCCTAACATCTACCTCAAGTTTCACATGACTCTTACTCCTGTCTTGAAGAAGAGGGGAGAGCAGTGAGGGGTCCAGAGAAGTGCAAGAGACTGGATGGAGGAGATATTTAACTACTGATCAGCTAATCCTCAGAAAAAAAAAAAAATACAGGGTGCAGGAGCTGTCCAAGTCTCACATGGAGCTGAAGAGCACATTTCGTGGCATGCCAGCAGACCTAAACATCTTAAGTCAGAGTCTCAGACTCAGGCTTATCCCTCTYCTTTTATATTCAGCTGTAAATATCTCAGGAAAAAGAAAAAAGGCTTCACACTGAAATAAATTTCAACTTACATAAGAAAAACAAATAAGCAAAAAAATCCTCAGGCTGCCTAGAGAATACTGCTCTAGTTATATTATTAAAACAACCATTTTTATATCAGAAGGGCTCACCACTCTCTCCCAAGAACCATTGCCCATTAAAACATGCCTGTCCAGAACACATCCTGAACCAAGGTGGAGGCTAAAGGAGAAAGCTAGTGAGCACAGCCCTGGGGAGGCAGCCCTGTCCCATCTCCTGCCCCACAGAAATGAGGCAGCTCTGCTGGGTGAAGGAGAGAGCCAAGCGACAGGGGACAGCTATCTCTTTCCAGCCTCATCTGCTCAGTTCAAGTGAGCTACCATGGTTTTAAAGCAGCCTACAAGGTTTTATGAAGGCTTCATGGCTAAAATGCTCACCTTGGGATGTGGATGAACATCTTGGGAAGCAGTCCCTCATGAAATATTTGCTCCAGGGCAACTCAACATGGTCAAGGATATCAAAGGGAAAGTGCTTTTTAGGAAACTTTGTTGTTAGAAACATGTTCAGTCCTTCCATAATGTGCAGGAGGATGCAGCCAGTAGGACCAGCAGCCCCTTGGAGAAGGCTTTAGGGAAGGCAGGAATGAGGAAGGAACAGAAAACCTCTGGCCTCCTGCTTCAAACCTCACTCTGTTTCCTCTCAGACTTGGGTATGGGGAGACGAGAGCAGGTGTCAACCTGCATCTTAGGGTGCTCTGCTGCTTATTGGCATGTTGTTCAACACCTACTGAGGTTTAACCTAGTTGCCCCAAAACAAGATTGGTGAGGGGTTGCTCTGCCAAGCCCTGCAAGAGCTCACACTAAGCACATTTCAACTCCATGCCTCAGTTTCCCCATCTCTAAAGGAAGGCCAAAGTGACTTAGCTGCTTCCCAGGGATAAGAGAGGGGCAAACTTCATTAATGCTCGCATTGATCAATGAGCAGCTGGGAAATCAGCTAGAAGTTGTTGTCAGTGAATATCGTACACACATCAGCTCTCCAAAGTGCTCTTGTTTTCTCCTGACACATTAGAGAGGTTTGTGTATGAGGGGAAGGGAGTTCCCATGTAGGAGACCCATGTTCTCGAGCAAGGCTTTGGGATTCTCTAGTGGGCTGCATTTTGCATGCAAATTAATAATTAGGCATCTTTCCTGGGCCTGGAAATTTATCATAATGCAGCGCATGCTTCCGAGGCATTTGAGAATTAGCAGTTAGTGAGAAATTAAAAAAAAAAAAAAAAAAGAAAAACAGCATTAAGATTCAGAATTAAACTTGTGACAGCGATCCAAGTAAAAGAAGTCTTCTGAGATAAGACAGTGGTTTTGCCCTTAAATTACCTCATTTTGCCTACAGGTGTTGGGTGTTGCAGCGCTCCATTTCAAAATCCTGCCCTGATGTAAGGCCTTTACCGTGAGTAAACACAGCAATGAGAGAAGAAACTCATGTGGCATTCATAACACCACGCTTGCCTGTTGCCTTCCGATTAAGTCATGCAGATATTTCAGTGTATTTCTTCACATTTCCTTTATGTGCCAGACTATGAAATTAAAACCAAGCAAAGAGGGAGCACGCTGGGTTTGGCTGCTGCAGTGATGTCTTCAAGGTGCCTGAGGCAACGCCGAGGGCTCTTGCGCTACCGTCACAGCATCTCCCCCGGGCAGACGGCAACAGCTCCGGAAAACCCAGAGCCTTTGGAAGCTGGCATTTGCCACAAGTCATAGTGCCAGTGCAGAGCAAACAGGCATTCATGCCAGGATGTTTGACTGCTTGCTGCATTGGATGGGACTGTTTTAGGCACCACTCCTTGCCCTATAGTGTAAAGCATAGAGCTGTACATCACCCTTGAGTGTGCGGGTGGGCAATTAGGGATGTCCCAAGGCCCCAGGTGGTCGCACAAGCTGTTCAGCCTCGTGTAATCCAGCTTTCCTCCATGGAGAGCTCACATAAACTATTTTTTAAGCTGAGCACTGCCACTTTGGAGAAGGTGGTCAGCTCCCCTCCAGGCTGATGCTGTCCCACCCCACGTCTGTCCCACTGCTGTCACCTGTGCAGATGCCGCAAGTGCTGGGTGGGAAAGAAGCGCTGGGGAAATTGTGTTTTACCCCAAATCCCATCAGTATGCACTACGACTGTGCAGCATTTGAGACTTCTGGTGCTTGTTATTTTCTATTATTATTATTATTTTCCCAGGTCTGTGTGTCCCACATTGTGTCCCACATTTACACCTCAGTAGGCTGAGAGATACCACTGCCATCTGTCTTTATTTTCCTAATCCCCCTTGGACTGGACACCACAGTGGGGAGGCTACTGGGAACACAGAACACATGCTGCCAATTTCATTATCTTTCCCTTCTGCAAACATCCATATTACTCATCGCCCCTCTCTTCACATGGGATGAAATACTGACATTTTAACAACACTTTGGCTAAGATTCGCCCCTCTGGTGTGTTAAGCACRTTGTGCTCTATTGAAGGTAAAATACAACCTTGTACTATAGGACCTCTCTAGCTGCATTTTAAAGCTGTTCTTAAAGTGCCCTTTAGTGGGCTAGACTTTAGTTTAATGTCAGGCCACTGGATGCTCTGCACCTTCTATAACCTCTGTGGATATATGAGAGTCAGGGCAGCTACATGCAACGACCAGCTCTTGCAAAATTTCTCCCCTTAGCATCCCCCTGGATGGGAGCAGGATGTTTCTGCACAAGCTGCAGCATCTTTCCTTGCTGGAGCCCCAAGAAGCAGTGCAGCCTTATAGCCCCAGCTCCTCTGGTGCTGCAAATGTTTTGGAAGGAAACACACAGCAAAGAGGATTTGATCAGACAAAACTGCTGCAGTCAGGTAATGAATGCTGGGATAAAGAGACAGCACTGTTTTGAATTATGAATAGTATTTCAGAACATACAGATRGATGGAGGCAAAGCCAAAATGACTTAAATTGCATGGGGATTTTTTTTTCCTTTGGACAGGCATATAGAGCAGCATTAGAGAAAGGGAAAGGAATAACCAGCAGAAAGAGGAATACAACAAAGAAAAATAAGTAGTTTTAGCAAAACTGGAATTTAAATATGTGCACAGAAAACCTCTGGACAAAGCTCTGAGATGGCACCTCACTTGTCTGTGCAAGTTGAAGGGGGAAAGGGAAGGCCGGGGGAGGAAGGCCACTCTCTTCTGCCCGGACTCCTGGTCTGAGTCCCTTTTAATCTCCTGGCACCAGTGTCTCTGTAGCCCTACTCCCAATCTCAGCTTTCCACTCCCCACTACGGTACAAGCTGCTCCCACTTCTTCCCCAACTCCACTATGAGCTACAGCTCCTGGATGTGGTTYCCTGTGCCTGCAAGCATCTGGAAAGAGACGGTGGGGCCGAGAAAGTGCCTAAAGGGGGGACCTTGAGACCCCATGTCTGCCCCTGGCTCAGGTAACGGTGGGACCAGTAAAGCCCCACAGGACCCTTGTCACTCCCAGGCTGGAGCACAGCACCCCACCTGCAATGTTTCGGCCCAAACGCCTTCTGCTGAGCAAAACCATAAGCAAGGAAAACGGCATATTTTAGTGGCAAAGCCTGACAGCCTTAATAAAGCCGCAGGTGAGATCTTGTTAGAAACCTGTGAAGGGGATTTAACTGTATGCACATCATTCACAAAAATGAATGTTTTGAAAGCCTCAGCTGTTAGCTGGATTTATTTCTTCTGCTTGAGAGAAAATCTGAAGATTCACCGCAGTGAAAATAATGCCACAAAAACAAGAGTAAAAAAGTCCCTTCAGAAAACCCACAAAACCCAGGCTGAGGGMTATACCTGCTCTGTAGCCGCCTGACTGCGCGGTGTTTTCTGCCTGAACTTTCTGGGCCACAGATCTCCCGCCACCGAGAGGATGAGATGCAGCAAAACAGTGACCTCTCGGCTTCCCTTGGAGCATCGCTAATGGATAACGCCAGGACTATTATTTTCGAAAGCTTCAGTTCACTCTCCTGCCGCGCTTATGACGCTAGCAGGGCCAGGAAGACGGAAACCTCGTCAGGATAACAGAGCAGGCAGCATTGCAGAGAGGCAGGGTGAAAATAAACCTCGCCAGGGGACAGCATCTTGGAGCTCTTGGAGCTCTTACCCTCTCCCCGCCTCCCCGGTTGTTGTTATATTCCATTTCAGCTGCTAAGTAAGAAATATCCTACTTCAAACGTGTTATTAGTTGCTGTATCATTGGTTACAGGCTTGTAGCAGAATGGAAGACAAGCTTTAGATAAGGATTGCTCRGTGGTAATGATGAATATATTTAAAGCACTAACCAGTATATTCAGCAGAGAAATAAGAAAGAGGCGAAACAAAATGACATAGCAGGGAAGCCMAAAGCAAGGAGAGAGAGATGCCCAAGCAGGCAATGTCTTCTTYCTAGAGAAGACAGGTATACGATAATATAAATGTTAGCTTGTTTTACACCTTACCCGTTGCAGACATCATTCCCGATTGTAGCGTACACGACTATGGTCGGATTGTCCAGCAGCTGGTTTCTAGCCAAGCTGAAAAAATAAATAGGCAGATTTATTAACGGAGCAATACACTGTCTATTTCTGAATCACATACCATGCCTAGGTGAGGTAACATCTGCAAGTAACTCATTTAGACTTGGCCAGTGCTCAAAAAACTTCTTTTTTTTTTTGCTTGTTTGCATTTTTCCTATGATTTCATATATTTTTTTTAACGTTTCCTATATATTAAGTTTTCATACCTCCTTTTTGTCTCTTATGTTATGTTATGTTATGTTATGTTATGTTATTCCTGTCTTTGTATTATTCAGAAGCCAAATCAAGTAGTTTTATTTCAGGAAAAAAACATCAATTCAAGGAAAAGATATCAATGAAGATTGGAACTTTTTAAATAGAGATGGGAGCAGGAGGCTRCTCTTGGCTGCTGACTAAGTTTGTGTGTGGGACTGGGTTCAAGGTCAAATTAGGATGTGGTCTGAATATCCATGGTTGAGAGCTAAGTTTTATTATGACTTTTTCTGTGGGAGAGATCTTTAAATAATTTCAGATTTGAACTGTATAACACCATGGAGCAAACCCAGGCACCCCACAGCCCATCCAAATTCATCTTGGAAGGGAAGTTGCTGTCCCTCACCATTTGGAAACTACTCRGTTCTGTTTGCTTGAGGTAACTCAGTGGTCTGGCCCACATCGGCCTATGTTGATACAAAACAGCATTAAGGAAAACAGGGGAAACACAAGACACAAATTCAATGTTTTACTCCAACAGTGCTCCTGTGCCCACAKCCACCAATTCACGTCGCGCTAAACACTCACCTTTTAATTAAATCCAGGAGGTTTCTTGAAGAACCACCTTGTCACACATAGTGGGAATAAGCAGAACAGTACATTACTGTTACAGCAATAAACAGATGAAAAGCAAATYCTGATTTCATCTATATTTCTAAGAATGTAAGACTATTAGCAAATGTGACAAGAAGTCATCTCCATGACCTTTCTGGGTTCTAACATTAGGAAGCAATTTTCAATGCAGGGACCTGCTGCCCTCCTGTGAGTCACACACTGGAGATGGTAGAAAATTAAATATTTTTAAGTGCTGKATTGTTTGGATCTGGCATTTAGTCCAGATCTGGCAGCTTCTTCCCATCTGTTGAACATAGTAGTCTCTTGTAAACCAGCCAGCCTGACTTGTCAACAGCTGAGCTACTTTTAACTTTCCCTAAAAATTGCAAAGGGAACTATTCCCACTGCGAGCTGTTCTCACTCTGCAGCAGGAATGAACGTCTCACAGCTATACCACGTTGGGAGTGATTCAGGTCCTAAACATAGGCATCAAGCGCCGTTTTTGACATCCCAGGCAATCCAAGGCACCTGTGGCAGGGCTGGCAGATACAGCACAGCATCCCAGGCACTGTGCACTTCTGGAGAGGCAGCTGGAGGCTGGGAGGATGCTGCAATGCATCTAAAAGAGCTGAGACACCAACGCGCCGGCACAGGCATTGCCCTCACTGTGAGTGGCAGGCTTGGGAAAATCAGCATTAGGACAACTGCATCTTCCCCAGCAGCTCTGCATCTCCGTAGCAATTCCCCCAAATGACTGGATGCAAATCTTTCCTCCTTTGGGAAAAAACTAACTAAATTCAAGCATCTGCAAAAGTCTAAAAGGTTTCCTTTATGTCTTGACTCAGAAAAGCATTCCCAATTAGTAAAGATTTTATAAATAAAATTTACTAGCCACTCTTTAAAGGCCACATACATACATCCTGGCTATCCACAGAGYGCAAATACCACATTATAGTGATGTACAAAAATATAAAATGTTGGAGGAACAGGCTTACAGGTTCCATTTCTTTTGTGCTCCTGCTTTCTCACCCTTCTCTTCCTATATTACGCTCCCTCTATCCTTCACTCAACTTTTCTCTAGTCTTGTTCTCTTTTCCTCTCGCTGGGCATCATCCCTCTGATGTGTGCTTTAAGGAGCAAATTCTGCCCTCCCTGCAGCTCATGGCTAGAAAGTTGTGGCTGGAACATCATTAAATCTCCACTAGATCAGGGCTGGTGAAAGTGCTCAGAGATAAACCCCTAAGGTAGCAATAATACACTTTGCATTTTAATATCGGTGCCTTTGTTATTATCACTCACAGTGATGCCAGCTGCATATATCAAGGAATCTTTTATGTTTTAAATAATACAGTCTTTTCAGCCTAAAAATGAATATATCTCTCTGCAGCTTCTCTCTTGAGGGTTGCTGGTCCYTTCAAAGTCCGTTCCTTCTCTCGCAAAGCCCTTTTCAGCAGAATAAGAGCCACATACAATCCTTAGAAAAAAATATGGCTTAGGACATAATGTTCACTTTTTTTTTTTTTTTTCTGTTTAATATCCCTTCTTTCTGTAAGATTTCAACTAATATGTGCCTCTGTGAAGCCTGTTTGCCACACAACTCCCCGGCGGCCTGCAGCTCTACCACAAAGAAACTCTTAGGGGSCCCAGGCACAAAATGTGCATTTACAGGAAGGCAAGAAGCTGCTCTTGGATGCCTGTTACCTCCAGGAAGGCAGGTGATTGCGAGGAGCAGATCAAAAGCATTAGAGGCAGTTACAAAWCAAAGCAACAAATCAAGAAAATGACGGGCATTTTTAGAGAATGGTTTTAGGGGAAAATTGAGTCATCAGGGGAGTTTTTATGATCCAGGGTGGAGGTGATGTTCAAAGTATGCAAGAGAGAAAAAGAGATGAGGCAGAACAGCTAAACCTCAGTTACCCCAATGCTGTTGAGTATCCCAATAGTTATTCCTGTATCTCTCCCGGTCCCCTCTTCGTGGCTTGCCAAACATTCACAGACCAGTGGGATTCCTATTTTGGTAAGGAGTTGGGGCTTTTTTTTTTTTTTTTTTTTTTTTTTGCCTCTACTTGTGAGAAACCCAAAATTTCATGTACCTTGAAAGACTTCTGAGGTGAAATTCTTAATCTGCTGGCTCTAGACCTTGTGAGGCTGACAAGGAGAAGGGCTTGAATGCATAGAAAGAGTTTCTGGTTCCAGATTACACCAATTACACCAGCTGCAATTACACCAGAGTCAAGTTGCTGAGAACAGCTTATTGCTTTTTCATCTTCTGCTCCCCTACACCATAAAAGCAATTGCAAATGTAATGGTGCAAAATGAAATTCTCCAGTTTTCTCTAGATGTATTCAAGCAGACTTGCATTTCCAAGACAGCTGAAATTAAAATAAAATTATTTCTTGAACAGTTTTGAAGCCACCATGGTTCTTGATCTGGTGCTTGATTGCTCAGTGAGCCAGAGCATACCTTAACAAAACATAATTTTTCTGGTCAAAGGGAAACTTTCTCTAAAAAGAAGTAGGCCAGACTACATATACTATATACTACCAGTGTTTGGAAATAGCATATTTTATCTATGTATCTTATAGAATATAGAAATATATAGACRTATACGGTGTCTATATTCTATTTCACTAAGCTTATAGAAAGCTGTTGTGGGATTTTTCTCTTGCTTGCAATTCTTCCCTTTATAAATTCTCCTCTCCGTTTTCTTCAGAGCGGCCTCCTTTTCTACCCTGTAGGTTTCTGTAGAGTAAGTGTGAAGGAGATATGAAAGAGGAGTGACACATGCTGGGAGACCTGTCTGAAAATCTGYGAGGAAATTGAGAAGAAGGATGAGGAGAAAGTGCATCCCCCAACTAGTGTGAAGGGGACATAAGGTGCCAGGGCAGTTCTTAGACTCTCGCTTCATGCTGTGGGGTTGGGCAACCTCTCTCACCAGGTRGGACCTCTCCCTGCCTGAGCTGGGGCAGGAGAAGACACTTTCCTAGCCCAAATCTGGCAGGAAATTGAATCCCAAGYGGTCAATGAGTTTTCAAATCCCACCAGGGGCAGCAGTGCTTCTCATCTGTGGCCAATATGATTCATCTATCGGACATGAAATTATCCTACAAAGACAAATTATCTACCTGAGGAGCACAAGCTTTCCCTAGCTTCTTCAGCCAATCTTCTGAAGCATGGAAATATGATTAGACACAATATAAATACAATGTAATAATTACAGAATAATCAACTGTCTTTTAAACCTGATGTTCAGGGACTAAATCACCTAAATCAACACACAAAGTCTAACACTCTAAGACTTAATTTCTAAGGGAGATAACTGGCATCCTTTCATACAACCCCGTTGATAAATTTGATCAAACTCCATTTTGAAACAACTCAGAGTTTATTTTTACCTTCACTCCACTGTTTAGAGGGCTATTCTATTTTTTCATTTCTGGTAGTCAGTAGCTTTTCATTCCACTTGAATTAGAAGTTTCCACTTGAAATGAGACATGACTAATAAATATCCATTTTCTTGTAGCAATAGTTTGCTTCAGTTTAAACCATTCTTCCCTCTCTGCTCTCTGACTTGTTTACGCCATCAAAGCATTAAAAAAGGACCATAGTCACTTTTAATCTTTGCTTTGCTAAGTTGCCAAGGTATTTTAACATGCTGCAGAAATCTCCACTCCCCAAGTCCTCCCTGAGGGCCTCTCTATTGGAAAAGGCAGAAGCTGGTCCTTTCTGAGCAGAATCTCAGCTATCTAAGGATCAACCACATTCGAAGCTCTAGAGAAAACCTCGTTCATGATGAACCCTGCAACCCCATTAGCCCCTTTCTAGTGCTATTCTGTGCTCCCTGAAATTCCCTTTTGCACCCCAATGTGCCATTACCTCCAGGAGCAAACTGATGAGCCGCTAGCATATGGACAAGCGTCTCCTCACCAGCCCTGGCATGTAGGACTGTGTTTCATGCCATTGCCATCAGTGCCGTTCACAAGCTCATCTAAATGATTCCTGTGTAAAGATCTGCCCTGCTGCAGGACTGTGGATACCTCGCAATTGTGCATCATCCCCAGGTTCTCAGAAGTTTACTCTGAGGTCACTGCTCAAAATATGAAGCTGCACTGGTCTCACGACAGATGCCTGGGGACACTGCTGATCTCTCCTCTGCAGATGGGCAGCTTCTGCCTCAAACCACTCTTCTCGCCTGTCCAGCTGGTTCTTTGCCCACCTCTTATCTCTCGTGTAAATCCCCCTCTTCTTCACTGCATCTGGTGAGGTACCATGTAAGACACTGTCCTTAAGTCTAGGTAGGTTACATCATCTGCTGCATATACTCCCTACTCAATCAGAAGAAACAATGTTGAGTTAAAAAAGCACTTTTCTCTACTTTTCCACAAGACATGCATGAAAAHAAAAAAAGTTTTCTCTTACTTTCTGAAAGATACCCACTATTTTTTTTTTTTTTTAAGAAAGAAGTAAAAAACTTACCATTTTGGGAAATGTTCTGCAAGTCTCTGTGATTACAACGATTTCTCCTGCGTAAACGTAGATACAGAGAGTCTGTCCAACCCCTGAAATAAATTCAGAAAAAATATGATGCTAAACTCATGTATGTCAGTTAAAATATGTTTGATATTTAGYAAGAAGTATGTTCTTGACTTTATACAGCTATATGCCCCAGTTAAATACATATTGCTATTTTGCCATTTCTCTTTTTTGAGGTCATAAACTTTTCTTTATTTTGAATAGGTTGGCCTAAAATGGAGCCAACATATCCTCTCAAAAACTGTAAATTGAAGGAGATTTTCTTTGAACTTGCTCATCCTTGAGGTTTATCCTGGTCCTTCAGGCAACATGCTTAAGAACCTTTATGCTATATAACATTTATCAAAACAGTCCTGTTGATTGCTCAGTATTTGACTGCATGTCACTGTCGTGGAACAGTAAATAAAAGAGAAGAAATATTGGCAGAGCACTCATTTCCCAGTGCCATAAATCTTGGGCTGATTGATTAGAAAACAGGTTGTGTTCCATTCTGACCAGTTTTCTCTTTCATTTTGCACAGTTTAGAAAAATGGAAAGGCCCATAAAGAAAGAAGAACAATCCCAAGGGAAGCTGTTAGTAAGAACAGCCTCCAGAGCTAGAAAATCACCTGGTGATTTTTAGCAGAGCTGTTGATCTTGTGTTTGAACTTTGACACTGAAGAAATTAGGTAATTTAAATACCTGAGCTTAAGAATGGCAAACAGAGATGAATGCAGAAATGACATGTTTTGAAACCAGTGATAAAAAGTAAGCAGCTACATAGAAACGTGTGATAAGGCCAAGCTGTAACTGTGCAATAGGCTCTACAAAGAATGCTTGAAATCTTTGATTTTCAGCCTAGCACATGTGTGGATGAGGAAAAGCAAACAGGATTTCAGAGTCAGAGAATGTGCTATTGAGTTAATCAGTGGTGTGCCTGGTGACTGATTGGTATGGGGAGGATGGGCACAGACCACATTGGTTTGTATCTCCATTTCTGCAAGCTCACAACAAATCTTTCTGCATGCTGCTCTGTTCCACCTGCTCTTGACTAGACTCATTCCTTGCGTTACGGGATTCTGAGTTGCTTCTCTTAAAAATGACTTGAACTTGCAAACTGTYCTTTTTTTTTTATCCTTTTAGACATGGAAGAGATTGAGGAAAACAAAAAAAAAGGAAGATTAAAAACTGAGCATCAAACCAAGGCAACTTCAGACTCAATATTAAGTTCTGATTGCTTATGAATTTCAAGTTTTTGGAGCCAACTTAAATACTGTATAGTCAGTAACTGGCCATTATAATAGATTTTTAAGCTGATTTTGTTGTTTCAAGAGGAGATTGCACAGATCTTCCCTTTGGCTTGTCAAGTACTATATCACATTAACACACTCAATGTGTAAATGTTGCTGAGGTTGGGAGCCTGTTCTTTGTGCAGGGAAGAGAAAAGAAAAGAGATAGTACAAATATAGGGTGCTGTAGATTTTTTTTCCTAGAAAAGAATATAGTATCCCATTTTTTTAATCTCATTCTTAGAGGGCTTTTCTAGTTGTGGTTCATGCTTGGTTTGGGCATTTCACCATACCCATGGTCTATCTCAGTGCAGAAGCTTTGCATGGTAAACATATAAAATACAAAACTTTTTTTTTTTTTTGMTGTTTTGGCCAGGAAAAGATTCCTTTTCTTTGATGTCCAACCCAGCACTCTTCCCCATCCRCATCAGCCAGTGCAAACAAGCAAATTAGGTCGCAGGCTTGCCAAATTCTTCTCTTGCTACTTCCCTCCAAATGAGAAAAAAAAGGGAAGAAACATCACCTCAAAAAGGGACATCATCAATATAACACTTGATTAGCATTTTTGTATTGTCTTAGCAACAGAAAGGAAATAAGAGAAAAAGAGAAAAAAAAAAACTAGGAAAAAAATTAAAAGCTAAGAAAAGTAAAATGCTGATATTTATTAATGTTAACAATGTTCCCTTTTGCTTGTCCCTCCCACACAGCTTAATTTTGAAAGAGTCAAGAGATGCATTTCCTCTTTTTTTCTCCTTCTAAATTAAAATTTGTCTATTTGTAAAAGCTTCATTGAATGCCAGAAAGATGGGGCTAGAATATTTTGCATTGCCCATCAATTTGAAAGGAGATCAGTTGAAAGGAAAAACACTAGATTTGGAGGTGATCTGCATGTTAGAAGGAGCTGAAGCAGCCTTCACCAGCAATTTTAGCTTTCCTTTCARGTACTGGGTTTTCCCCCCAGGATTTGCTGGGTTTTGAGGTCCTTCAGATTTGTTGAGATTTGTCTTCACTTTGTGCTTAACTTACCCAATTGTGGAGTTCAGAAATCCAGTGAACTCAGAGAACTGGGGCCAGTCAAGCTCATCAGAGAAAGCCATGGGGAGATTAGCAAATGCTTTCTGAAAGAGAAATTTTTAAATCAACATGGGTTCACCTTCACAAACATAATCCTTTCTACAAACTCAAACATTTCTTCATCAGAACATTAGCCAGATAGCAACAACTCCAGTGGTACTTGTAGGTGTAATTATTTATACTTAAAAAGTTGATTCTTGCATGACAAGCATATCAGGAGAAAGGGGAAGAAACAGCAGGACCTGAGACTGGTAGAGATTTCTTGTAGCCTTTGATTTAGCATCTGTCTTATCCAAAGAAGGGTCTCAGATGGTATGGGAAGAGATGCCAGCATGATTTTCCCAGTTTATATGGCAGAGGGCTGGGAAGCCAGGAATAACATCATGTCCATYAGACGCTGCCATCTCCTCTCTGGCAGACTGGACTGCAAGCATCTGGTCTCCTAAAAACCACCACGTGATTTGCAGTGCAAATTTCCTCAGATGCCAGTTTTCCCATCATGGTTCACGCTGGAATTTGTTGGATTTTTGAGATACATTTTGCTGCACCACATTTGCTACTCTCACCAGCACAGGAAGGCCACGGACTCACCACAAAAACATTTCTGCAGCCAAGCGAGCGTGGTGGGGCATCCCACTGGAGCAAGAGAGTCAGAATGGGAGAGAAGCACATGCACTGCAATACCCCTCTTTTACCCAAACGATGAAAGAATTATAGTACTACATTTTTGCTGGTATTAGTCCCTAATGCTTATTTTCTAAGCAACAGCCTCTCTCCATTTGAAGACAGTGTCACACACTCACAGCACAGTGCCCTTTTCTCTTCCGTTGTGTTCTGCGAAAGTATCAGAAATCATGAAAGGGGACAGGAACAGGCACAGGAATTCACACTGCCTCCGAAGGACAAGAGCACCGAGTAAATTTCCAGCTTCTGCTAGGGTACGCTTGCAAAGACAAAGACATAAAGCCAGCTCRCTCGCACTGAAAAACTGTTGATGAAAAAGGTAATAACCAAAAGAAGGTCAAAACATAAAATAAGGAAAGCTACAGGCTGGTATAATCCACAGAATTTATTAGTTTCATTTCCTTTTGAAGCAATTGCGATGTTTCTTTAAACCCTCACTACCATAAACAGCAAAGCAGGTGGATAATTTGTTTTCTGGGAGGGTCAGAGGTAGCTGATGAAGGGCAGAAGAGGTAAATCTTGCTGTTCCCAAGTCCTCCTGCCGGTAGAATCATCCTGCAAAGGAGCGGGTGTTTTGCCTGAGCGGATGCCAACAGGTTTTGTTTGTGAAAGGCTGGAGRAGAGGCAGGGACAGGGGTAGGAGAGGCAAGAAATCCCGATGCCGAGCTTGGAGCAGCATAATTCATGGTCAGCTCCAGTTTAGAGCAAGTAACGGCATGTCTGACCTACTTAGGATGGACCTGCTCTAGTCACCAAGGTGAAAATAGCTCTGGCTCAATTACCTTTCAGCTGTTTATTTCTCCCTCATATACATGTATACCTATTTGCTTGTGTGTGGATATATATGTATTTATTTATTTAAGACTCAAGGGAACTTTAAAACCCATCTTCTTCATAGCTGATAGGATTGTGTGTAACAGGCACTTCGTAGAAGGGTACTGTTTTGAGCAGAAATGGAGGGGTTAAACTGCACAGTATGGCTTGGCTATTTGGAGCATTTGCCTCCTAGGGGCTTTACATTAAAGGCGATAGAAACATTTAAAGTTACTCAGCTACCAATAGAAATGGCCTCTTATCAGCCAAAGCATATATGAGCAGACACCAGAGATGATTAAATATTTTTAAAAACAAGCCCTTCTATGACCAGGGGGAGCCTTCTAAGCTCCTATTAACCCTCCAAAATAATGATTTCACTGGACAGGCCTCATTATAATATATTTTTTTCTTGCAGACTTAGATATGATTTAACTGAACCTAGCTGAGCTGAAAACTGCTTTGCAAAGGAAAGTTTAAGGTCAGAATTATTGGTGCATTTGAATACTGTATTTAAGTTAGCATTGAACCTTCTCTGGCAATGCMCTTAAAGGCAGACTTCTAAAGATATTTCAAGAACAAAAGGTGAAGATAAGTGGCTAAGAGAAATTTCAGGAGATAAACCAGATCTACTTTTCATGGACCTCATTCAGAAAACATGGGGTAAGCGACCAACTGCATTTTGGTTAGGCTAAGATGCAAATGTGTCCCRTTCTAGAGGTGGGTCTGTGCTGACTTTTAGCTTAAAACCTTTCTTTTAGTGCAGCCTTGTCTAAATACCATGCTCTAGACTATTCCAACTGAGAAACCATACTTAAGCCTATGCACCAGATTTAAACAGAATAATTAGGAAGTTATTCCAGCCTAAATTCAAACGCCAAGTTTTAGCCCTAGATGCTCTAGATGGGTCTTATTTTGAAGGGACATTCTCACGTCCTAGACATATCCTAGCTGGAAGCAGGTCTCCCTGAATCCTCACATTCCTGATGTGCATGGCAATCAAAACCATGGCCAGAACCTTAAAGGCACCTACCCAGCCATGAGATTTTCAAAACTGGGACACAAAAGAGCATTATAAATTTAACACTTATCTGAGCCTTCAGAAGAGGCAGGTGTAGAAAGTTTATAAGTGCCAAGGTGTCCCTTAATTTGAAGGGAAATAGGCTATTTATTTTCATAGTGATTATAATGGTGTTTAAATCCTCTAGATATCATTAGATACCTCCGATGACATCCTCTTTCTAAGTATACATAAAAGCACACCATCCATCCCTTGAATAAGAAACGACTTTTCAAAAAGCATGTACAGTATTTATACTCTGTAAAGTTGCAAAGACATASGTTTGGAAATTAGGAAAAGAGCAGTTTTACTTCCAAAACTGCACTTTCTTAGTTATCACAATATTAATTCTAGAAACATGCCTGCACCTTATTGGATTTGACTGAAAATAGAAATGGTTTTTAACAAGATTTTTGCAGATGAAATTCCTGTCATCTGTAGTTGTGCAAAAGGAAGTCAGTGGGATAACTGTTCAGGATGTGTTTTCATCTTGAATTTGCATTTAAAGAAATGATGAACTTTTCTGCATATGAAATGCATAGCATGAAACAGTTGTTTAAATGAAAGCTAAGAACAATTTGAGCTCACGGGCAAATAGATATTTACTGCACTACAGACAGATTTAGGATTTATTTTTTCACTTTATTCGGCATGAAATGAAGAACCAAGAGTTTTAAATGCATTTTCCTAGAAAGAGTATCACCAGCACATTTATAAATATAGTGCTTTTATCTCCAAATAAAATGGTCTTTAAAATGAGATTTATAAGTAAGGCCCTATTCCAGGCAGATAACAGAAAAATGCACCATTTAGTAGCATTTTGGAAGTCAATTGTAAGCAGATGGACAAAGCAGCAGGAGAGCAATATCAATTGCTAGACACACCAGTGTTTTCAACATTAGCTCTCCTCAAAGATTGTCCACCTCGAAAAAGATAAGACTTCTGCTTTCCTGAACACCATTAAATATGTCTAYTGCATCAAACTGTGTCTTTAATGTCAAAGATTATGTCAAAGGAATGAACATTCAGCTCAGTTCTGCTAAACTTTTTAACAGGAGAAAATCCTGATGGAATCAGAACCTGTTGGCAGGAAGGAAGCCAAAACAAGGGTGACTCAATCCCCTTCCTACAGTTGTATAATCCCCTTCCTGTAAAGGTGTTCTGGGTGTTTGAGGATTTAACGGCATTATGACAAGTTAAGGACAGCGTTACTCACTGGATCTGCCTGTGCAGAAAAAATGAGTGTAGATACCCTCAGTCTGACTGAGTGTAGATACCCTCAGGCATGGGCTGCACAATATTTTGTCTCTTTGCTTCACCTCAGACAAATACCTTTAGGGCAGACTTTGAGCTATGGCAGTATTAGGCTGCTCAGGGCAGATTTGTGGAGAAGCTAAGTGCTTGCAGGTTCCTATATTTACTTTCCTTTATAAGCTGAAGAAATAGCATGTTTATCTCAGCTGTAGTTTTCCAAGACATACCCACCTTGTGATGGGCTTGTGGTAGAGGAGGAAGGCCATGAGCCATCCTGCATGGCTCACATGCTTGTGGTGGGAATCAAGTCCACTCATTGGGGTGGTTATGGTATTTGTGACCAAGTTTCAGCTACTTTTTTTTTTTTTTTTTTTTTTTGAAATAGTGGTCTCGTGTCGTGTGTGTCAGGGAACACCTAGTGAAATGAGTTCCCATCTCCAAGAAGTAAAAGTGCCTCTGATGGCACTAAGAGACTCCTCATCACACACTTGGACATGGGACATCTGATGTGGGCATGTCCCCTTGCACAGAATTACTCTTGCACAGAGAGGTATGAGCTTGTGCTYGGCCAGTGCTTAGCAGGCAATATTCCCAACTGGGCAAAGGAGATGAGGATATCCAAAATCCAATTTAAAACAGCTTCCTAACAACAGTCTTTCATAAGACGGAGCAAGGATCTTAATTCCAAATCTGTTCTGCCCAAACAAGACCATCTGGTCATGACAGCGCTGATCATCGAGTTACCCAAATGACATCCTGAGACTACTTCAGTGAGCAAATTTGTCGTTAATTTTCTCTATAGTCCCTCATTCATCGTTATTGCTCCTGTGTGTGGCAGTCTATATACAGTACAACCAAGCAAAGCAACCATTCTGCAGGGGTTCTTAACTAAATTCTCAGCATTTATCCTTAAAAATTATTTCCCCACCTAATTAGCTCTAAAATAGGAATTAGCAGCTGCCACCAATATGGTGTGGATTTACAAGAGGGCCCACAGAATTGCTACGGAGTGAAAATGTTTCTTTTAGTAAATGTTTATGAGAGCAAATATAAATAAAAAAATGAAATAAATTGAATATATAAAATAAATAAGAAATATGGAATAAGAATAGTTATAAAATACTGCAGTTAATAAATATGAATTCAGAGTCACACAACTTCTATTTTATAACCTGATAGAATCTTGGGGGTGGGAAAAGTCCTATTTGGAATTCCATGTAGAGGAATGAGAGTCCATTGAAATGGAAATTAAAGCTTTGAACTAACTCTTCAATTGACTGTAGAGAAAGCCATTTGATAAACTAAATTTTCTACGTGTCTTATCAAAGAAATTTTGGAAAGATCAAAGTGAAGTGACGTGAGGTTCACAGGAGCTTCATAGCACCAGGGAACAGCAGGAACAGGAGGCTGGTGCTTTATCCTGCCTGCTCAGAGCCCTACCTTTGAATTCTTGCTGGAGTCCCGAATTAAGGATGCTTTCTGTGAGATTAGGACTAGGCTCCCTGCACTCTCCATGGCCACAAAACAAACCYGGTGTGTGATTGGAAATTCTCCTCAAGGAAAGCCAAGCGCTGAAGGAAGATTAATGCTGGCTGACAATATCCTGTGGGGAAAAGGCGTGCAGGCTTCCAGCATGCTGCGATTAGCCTCAAATCGTGCTACTAGCTCTTTGTTTTTGTAGGAATGGAAAACCATGACCTGCAGTTTTAACCCATCATTTGTGCAGTTCGAAGAYGGGAGAGAGAAAAAAGGTGGGAGGAAAGTAGGAAAGGAGAAAAGGAGGCTTGCTTCCAATGTAGATTTATCTTGCTGATTATTTGAGTAACATAGAACAGTTTCTTCAGTTTTATTCTTTGGCTTCTTTACAGAAATATTYAGAAATAAGTTTTAAAAGCTTAAAAATAGCAGATTCTGTTTCCAATTTGTTAATATGCGAACAACACATGACGGATATTGACCAGCAATATTTAATGCTGGGCAATGTGAGAATATGGTAAGGCACCTTCACAGGTAAGTTGTTGCCATTGCCATTCTGCACCCAGAAAGACTAAGACATAGAGAAAAAGCAGGAGAAACAATCAGTGCTAAAGCCTGAATTCACTCAGACATTTTTTCACTGCCATTTTTGTGCCCTGATACCTTTCTCTCTTAGGGTGAGATACAGATTAAATAACATTTTATAATTACTAGAGTTTAAACTCAGATACTTAGTCATAAGTCTGGGCTTTCTCTGCATTTCTGCATTAATATTTAACTGCTGATTTTTTTTTCCAGGCCAGAAGAAAACTTGGCAAATAACAGAACCAGTTTTTGCAAAATTTTGCAGGTAAGAAAGAACCAGTGCTTATTCTTTCTTATTCTCATCCCAAGGACACCCAGCTAGTGGTGCAGGCACTACAAAAGAGCTCTGCTCGCCACAGGAGTGCTAAATTTCATGGAAGTCTTTCAAGAAGCCAAACCAAGCACTCTGCTGGGTAACTAAAGCTGATTATTCCAAGCTCCTCTACATTATACTGTATCAATACATCCCCAAAGGCTGCCAAACCAGAAGGCTGGGATTGTATATGAGCTTTGCATTGGTGCAAATAACTGCCCAAGTACAAGCAAAAGGATCCTGATCGTGTGAATTTAAGCCAGTAAGCCAGGCTGGAGGAGATCAGTCTGGTAGGAGACCATGCACATGTAGCTGAGAAAATCACATGAGACAACTCAGAAATGGTTTGGGTGAATGGTGAGGGGCAAATGTGCAGAGCCAGGACAGCAGCTTTGATTACAACGGCTTGAATCCGGGGCGTGAGCCTTGCTCCTCATACTCTGAACAACGACGTCCTCTTGGAGGAGACACAACTGCCAAGGATCAGGGCTAGGCCAGCCACCTCCTTGCTGCAAAGCAGGTCTCCTTGCAGAGGTTCATGGATTGAGCCACCCCTTCTGCATGTGTCCCACTGTCTGGCTTGATGTCCTAGCTGCAAAGTGCTGCCCCACGGCCTGGACCCTCTGGCAGGAGAGCCAGCACCAACGTGCTTGCACCCTCCCACTGGCAGCATGTGAGGATTGTCTGCCCTGTGTCTCCTCGTGAGGTCCAGGCTCCTTCTTCATTAACTCCCACTATTTATTTATCTTCTTTAGCTCCAGTGATGCCGTCACTGCTTTTATATTATATTATGTGAGTGAGTGGAGTGCGTACAAAAGGCCAGCTGGTGAAAATGTCTCTCTCTGTCCTCGTTCTCCTGATGAAGGGCTGGAATCATCCTTTATATGGAGGAAAGAGTCCCTTTTTCTTCCTTTCCAATCAGTGCCTTACAAGCCAGACAGGTGGTTAGGCCTTATGCAGAAAGTACCAGTTCCCTTCCCATGCARCTTGCCTCTATCCCCATCAGACAGTAATAAAGTGCAATCAAAAATCCCTTTCTAACCTGTCCTCCTTCTCCTGATGTTGGAATCTCTGCTTCTGTACGYCGTGACCAGCCCTTGAGCCACCCAGCTAGCAGATTCATGTCTCAAGCAAGAGAAACATCTTCCAAACYGTCATGTTGGTGACAATAAAATGCTGACCCAGTCTAGAGCTATTTCTGCATACATGACTCTGCTAGCAGTGTCAGTGCCAGAACTGTCACCACCATCAGTGTTATTACCATTTTATTAGACAAGATAATCTCAATTATCATTAGCGCTAATTTATTACGCTCATCATCATCCCTGTCATTGGTGTCATTTGTCTAATCATTGCTCATAGAAGTTTAACAAAGAAAAACAACTGCTAATCTGCAATATCTAAATCAGATCAGCTGTGGAAGCAGAAATGAGAAAATACATGCAATTCTGATCAAAACCCTAGTATCTCCGATATCGCTATGCTAGAATTGTGAAATTATTCTCCAGGAATGCTCCATATTCCTCTTCCACAGAGGYCAATAGAGGGGGAATATCTTTCCATCAAGGAGGATTGGCAATGACCCAACTTGTTTGACCCCATCTGCTCACTCTCAGAGAGCCCTCGTGAAGGGAAGCACAGCACACAATCCTCCCCAGTGAGGGTACRACACCAGCCCCACACAAAGCAGCTCTTGGGAGGGAAAGATGCTGCAGAACAGGAGCATAGTGTGCATCTATATCCACCACCCAGCTGTAGTTTGTTAGATTGATCCTTTCTCCTCAATTATTTTATTCAACATCAGTGAATTTCAACAGCTGTAATCGCAACATAATTCTGGCAGGTGCAATTTCTTTTTGTCCTATGAAAAGGAGAAATGYGGTGACACTATCTGAAGGCAGATACTGCTGTGTTATACTCTGTGGCCACTACAGAAATGCTTCCCTTCAGGGCAATTCCATTATAAGTCCCTGGGTGACCTTCCAGCTCTTGCAGACGCATCCATGCTGTAAGCCTCAGTGCCTGAATACTTGAATTATTAGTTCTCTTTCATATATGCCCTGGATGAGGGAAAGCAATCTGGGACATGTCATTTCAAAACCAGCTGCCTAAAAGAGAAGTCCCTGGAGTGCCGATTCTGCAAGGTTTTTCCGCAGCAGAAGCTGTACCAGGGAGCTAACAGAGGGGCTTGTCGATGGCAGGATGGATCCCTCAGACAACACGGGTCTCCCTGATTCATGGGCTTTGTGTTTAAAGCCAGATGTCCTGCTTTCTGTCTTTGGAGTGGTGCCAGATTGAGGGAACCAAATCCTTTGCTGACACAATTTCAGAGACTTTGTATGTCTTTGCCCACAGGAGAGCAGCTGTGGGAGAGCAGCAGCTCCCCCAGGCAAGCAAGACCAGCCTACAAATCCCGGTGCATTGGGCATTTTGCCCTCACTGCCCTTTGCAACCAGTGGCCCTGGGTAGAAAGCAAAGAGCCGCCGGTGCCAGGGTGGTTTTGACAGCCCGAGCACAATTTCTCACCACTGACATCTGCGTGACCGTCATCCACTCGGGAGGGATGTGGAAGTGGGCTCCGGCCGAGTCCCCCAGCAGAACGACCCCTCGGGAGTCCGCACCTAAATCATACATATTTTTAGTCCTATAAAGCAGTCCAAATCAGGCCAGCCACACACACAAAAATACATATATGTCTGACAGAGCATGGGAGCAGCAGTGCTGACAGCTCGTGGGGTGGCAGTGCAAACGTTCCCTGTTCGGGTGGCTGAGATCTCTGCAGCTCCTGCCCAGGGCTGTGGGATTTGGCTCTTGCTGCAGCAAAAACCTACAGAGAGGCATGTGCCAGCAGCCACGCAGAAATGATTGGGTATCCAGCAAGAGTAAGAGTAAGATTGGGTATCCAGTGAGAGTAATCAGAAAAATTCCCCCACAGTTTTATTCAAGGACAGGACTGTGATTTCAGCCCAGGCTCTGCTGTGCAACTAACATTTATTTTTACTACCTATAGGATACTCATTAAAAATACTTAAAATCAATTGTTTAGGGAAACAGTATTACCCAAGAAACTGCTAAAAACTCTTTAGAATAGAGCTAGATGGCGGATGCTCTACTTATACATGTATTTTCACTGGTGCAATCTGGTTTTCTGGTAACTAATGTTACTGAGCAGCTGTAGGTGCCTCTCATCTGTTAAACAGAGGCCTTCCAGGCAATGGTTTATCTCCAGGATGATGATTGAAATAGAAGCCAGAGTGAGAAGCCATTGATAGCTATGGCTGTTTAATAACATTCTTTCATGTGTGCATATATGTWTTTATGCATACACACATGTACCTTGCTGCCAGGGATATCAGTTGATAGCATTAGTTCACCTCTATGAAGCCTTCTTAGCCCAAGCACCAGCATCACGTTGCTGGTGTTTACAGTAATGCATCATACTGGGCACACAAGGGGATTAAACTCCTGCCCTGAATCCAGAGGCAGGTCCTGGGGGCCAGGATTCAAGCTGGTGTCTCCGTTTGCTACCGTCCCTGGTCTATCTGCTTTGATCTGGCAACTGAATTGGCTTTTAACAGGAAATTAGCAGCAGCCTGTGGTTTGGGGGTTTCCTCTTTTCTCATTTTCAAGATTAAAAAGAAAAAAAAGCTATTTTGCCTTTTTAATGAAGTTCATAAGTCTGGTATCTTTTCTCCACATTGGCAACAGACACAAAAATATTAAAATATGAAACAAATGCAAAATACATATTGCTGCTTATATTAAAGATTTACCTTTGCAGAATTTTTCCTCATAGGGAATTCCATCTTTTGGATCCACCCCCTGTTAGAGAAGAAAAGACACAGCTGATAATACCTATCTACTGCCTGAAAAATTATAGTGCAAAATGGATCCCAAGTGTTTTGTTCTGCTTGAATTTTTGCCTGTAGGAAGAAGCACTGCATCATAGTAATGATGCTATCCATTACATTGTTTTAATAAGAATTTGTACATTTCAATTAATTTTAATGGTTATAATTTAAATAATCATAAACATCAACAAGCAAACTTCTCTCATCGCTGTTTACTCCCTTTTTCCTTGCTTTTAAGTAAATATGATTTTATTACTTGGAATATCAAAGGCACTAAATAAATGTGAGCAATGCAAATCAGTGAATAAACAAGATAAGCGACACTTGCAGACTAATCCTAAAGGAGGAAAAGAGAGCAAGCAGTCAGGAAGGAATTTGAAGATGCAACTTCATTTACTCACCCATATGCCATTACAGTTAGAATCATTGTTCACATCCCAATTATCAGGACTAAAATAGAATTACAAAAAGATATTTAGAGTTACAGAAAATAAAAGCAAAGGGGCTCTTAAGGCAATGAAATTCTTTGTACTGTTTCTCTAAGAATAAAAATAATTAGAAATTCCCTTCTGCATGAAGAGCTTTTTCTTTCTGTGAATTGAGGAGAGGTAAGTTTTTGTTCCAAAATGCAATATTAATTTAAAGTCCAATACCAGAGGGTGCTGAGTAACACCCTTTTGGTTCACATGGATCCTTAACTGAAGTGAGTGGGAATAATTTCCACAAAACACAGACCCTTTCTCCCTTTCCACAGTCTCAAAATTTCATGGAAATTGGCCAGATCCCCTGACTCTGGGTTCACTAGGGTGGAAGGCGGATTTGATGTGGGCAATAGTACATTAAAATTAGCTCAGACATCTTCCTTGGAGGTGTTTTATCCTTCAGCTTTGCTCTATGTGGATTTATAAGCTCATTTCTACCCATAAAACTGCACTGCCTGGACCAAGTGCAGCGCRGCTCTTCTCTGTGCACCCACCCTCACTGCTGGCAAGTTGATTAATGCCAAGGTTTAACAAGTCGTTCCCACCGATAACCAGTTTACCAACCCTGGGAAGAGGAGAGCTTTGTTTTTCAGGAAGAGCCTCAGCTTACTCTGCTCAGGATAAAGCAGTGAGCACCAAGAAGCTCGTTTCACAGAGTTACACCTGGCTGTGTTCTCCACTTCGGGGATGTGTGGACATCCCACGGGGCTAACTGGGAGTTACGCTCCAGTGCTGGGAATGCATCTTAGCTCTACACATCGCCAATGCAGTCTGAGGACTGGACCCAACACCCACAAGCACTGCTTACCAGCACGGGGTGCACAAGTCTTCAGAGGGCGCCTTTTTTTGAGGATGGACTATATATATCACAAGCTRTGGAGATTTTCCCATTACTAGATGATCTCTAGAGGTCCCTTCCAACCTTGAATATTCTGTGATTCTACGATTCTGTGATTCTGTGATTTACCCGGATGCTAGAGAAGACCCACAGGCTCTGTGTTTACATGTAGGATATTTAACTTCCAGCTTATTCAGTGAAGACCACAGTGCAGCAGCCACCCCTGGAACACATTACTGCTCCACTACCTACAGTTACTACCAAGCCTTTGGCCGGGAGCCCCAGGCTGCAGAAAACCCAACCCAAAACCCCAAAAACCTTGTCTCATGCCCACCCCAAAGCAAACCTAAAGCTTGTCCGTAAAGAAGCTGCAGTTAGTAAAACACATTTAATATAATTTAAAGCATTACCGCCTGCCAGGGTACACGGTGGCGTTCTTGTCATTGCAGTCCCTGCCTCGCCAGTGATAGCCCCTCAGAGTCTAAAAGCCAGGAGAAGCACACAAATAGGATGTTCATTGTTACTCTCGGTCTTTTAATTTAAAATATCTAAAATGAGAATCTAGCTCACGGTGCAGGAATAAAGCCCAGTAAATGGGTTTTATTCCTCAGCCCCTTTTCTAAGCTTTAATAAATGACACYATGCACATTTTGGAGCAGAAATAAAACAAGCTGGCAATTTAATTTTTTTTACAYGACTTTCCTTCACCTCTTATTAATTCAGTAAACAGACCACTCAGCAGCAGAGCAATTTGCTTCTGCAGGGAGTGCAGTTTTATGCATGCATCTCCCCAAGTGGCATAAATGAATGATTGTTTTTTTCACACAGAAAAAAAAGATCTTTAGTAACAAAAACCTACTTACACTCCACTCCTATACCAATTTCTATATGAATGAATAAGACTTTGTAGAAAGTAGGAGGAATCTCAAAGACAATCTCATTATCAAGGGATTACTGTACCAAGGGAAAAGCTTTACTTACTGGGAAGGTACTAAATTTATCTCCGTCAAAATCTTCAAAAGGCAATTTATTCCTTATGACACTGCAAAAAACAAAAACAGCAAACCCAGTGTTAACATATGGAAAGGAACTTATTCAGAAAGAAAAAAAATGCAGTAAAAAATGTGGAATAGATAATAGCTAGCATGTTATTCATAGCTCCATATACAGTTTAACTCTGTGCCTGTACTTCAGCAAATGGATTCTGCCCAGAGGAACAAATTCTGATTTCTTCAGTCTCTCCTAATTTCTGGAGGCAAAGTTGAGAGAAACAGGTACAGCCATAAAGTGTAACCCTTGATCTCAGAAACAAACTATCCTGTGAAATCTGTGGTAAAGCTATGATTTTGGGCATTAAACACTACCTACTTTCAGCCTGGCAGATGTTGCTAATCTCTAGGATGTGAAACATTATCAGAAGTCCTTCTATTAAAGAAGGAGCYGCAGGATGCATTTTTTTGCTTATGTGCACGAGCCTGAAAGCAAATGGCAAATCCTCCTTCTCATATGCACCCCTTGAGCCTTTTCCCTCCAGTTAAGCTGGGCAGATAAGACTTGCACTTCATATAGCAGGCTAGCTACAGTTACACAAACAAATGCTTATTTTTCATGGCAAAGATGGATTCAACCTGAAGAGGGGCGGTGTGTACACAATAAACAGCCATCCTCATACATTAACTGAGGACCTAAATCCCGTCTTGCCATTCTTGTAGCTAACCCTGCAGAAATGCGGCCAAGGTCAAACATGTTCATGAGAAGTATTTCACCTTGAGCTGAGGAAGACTGAGCCCTCGGTGGTTAATTATCTCCTCTCTGTGGGAATTGCATGTCTTTCTTTTCCAATGTGATTTTTGGCTCCAACAACCACAGGGATGCCAGCAGTGCCTGAAGCAGGCGTTAAAATGACCGTGCTGTCTCTTTGCTCATTCTTTTTCAGCTGGGACATGCACCAGCTTTCACAGTGCCTTGCACAAGCTGCAAAACACAGCTCAGCCCACCCGCACTCTTGGAACTCCATGCCACTGATCCTTCCCTTGGAAAGCTTCCTCTCCAAGGATTTCAAGTCTATGGGACTAGTAAGAGATATTAAAGCTGAGTAAGGAAACAAGTGGGTGCAATGAGAGTGGGTTCTTGAGGCTGCATTGCATCAGGAAAAGGAGGAATGCAGAGGAGACAGGCAACATGCCCACCCGTTGGTGCTTGTAACCCTTATTCTGCCTCTCCTCAGGAGGTCCCACAAGCTGCTTCAGGCAGGCTACTTCATCTCTGCAGTGAGGCTCAGCTGTAAGGAACTGGCACACATCCAGAACTAACTAAAAGAAATCCAACTGCCAGGCATGTTTCTGTAGTTACAGGAAGAAGGGCAGGGGAAAGAATTGAATGTATTTAGTGCAACACACAATTTACAATGTGATTCCTGCTTCTCCTACCTGCACTCACAGGGCTCAAACTCATTCTCCTCTCTCAGGTTGCTTATGCTCTGACTCCCARTTTAAAGATGCTTAGGACATGTTTCATGCCAAGCAACCCACTCCCAGGAAACTCTTTGTATTTGCAATTTCATGGTAATGAGTAGGAATAGATGGACAAGCTGGTCTGGAGAGTCAAACTAGCCCTCAAATACTGCTGGTTTCTTAGATGTGCCTAACTCTTCCTCTAACCCATTTAGGCCCTACACTGACAAATACTCTTCAAGACTAATAGCCCAGCTGAAGTCCTCAGTCCTTCACAGAACTGTTCACTTAAAGTCAGCACCTACACAAATTGCTTTTCACATCCACCTGCTCCCCCCAGTTTTTCCTCAATATCTTGAGTTTTTCCTTGTGGGTTTCCAAGTGTGACACTTGGGAACTGCCACACAAGTCATGTTCTTTACAAAGTTATGATGCTGCTGCTTACTGTAAACCCAGGGGAAYGCAGCTCTGCATTGAGCCCTGGGCACCACAACTGGGTGAATACATGAAATGCAGAAGTCTCTTGGGGTGGGAAATATCAAGAGGAAAGTCGTTTCCATCTCCATGGCTTCACATCTCTGTGTGTATGGATCAAGGACTCTTCCCTGCAGAAGAGTATATTTGTCCTCCRAGACCTGCTCAAATTATGCAAGTTTTTTTTTTCTGTTTTGAAAAAGAACAGGGATCCCTCCTAGGTATGACTCACTCTTACCTGAGCTCTATGCAGCCTCCTTCTGTACTGCCCCGTGTTTTTAGGAAAGAAATGTGAGAAAACTACAGGAAGCTTTCTTCTTTTAATCTGAGGATAATTTCTGCCTCTCCTTTGACAGAATCAAATGCATCATAGTCTGTTTGTGATTTAGGGCTGAAAATTTTATACGCACTATTTAATCTTCTCGCACAGCTTATCCAGAACGGGAAAAGCACATACATTTGAGAACCCCGCGATGCTTTTCTAGAAAGAAAGCAAAAAAAAAGCAGTCAAGTGCATTAGTTCATAGAGATAGCAAGGCTTGGGATAATGAGTGTCAGTGGAGTCCAAMGCTAAGTCATACACTTGCTGCCTAATAACATCTGAAAACCACAATGACTCCATTAAGGATGTTACATGCCAGAGGATTTAGGCTTGACACAGCAGTCAACTTAAAGATTTCCGCTTAACATGCTACAAACCAATGACTCCTGCTTTCAAAGAGCTATAAAATTAAAAAGGAATGAAGTTCTTATGAAACTGTCTCCCATCATGCACCAAAGTTATTTTTTTCCACCCTTTTAAGACACTGCAATTCTCATGCTTGATAAACAGCATGGTATCTGACACTTAGCTCAGAACTACTGATCACAACATATGTTGTGGCTGCTTTCTGCATGCTCAGGGCAGGAGCGTTGATAAGCCGGAGGTCAGGAACAATCCCAAAGGCAGGATAAATGGGAAGATCCAGCATGGGCATGACGCGCCTTGATTTTTAATTATTTTTTAACGTAGAAATCTCATAGCTGTGTTTTATCTCTACCAGACCTGCAGGCTGTAAAAGACAGCTGCTGCAGGATAAACTCTTTCAGCTTTAACAGACATCAGCCCAAGGCCAAACTACATGAGGAGGTCCCAGGTAACCAGAAAGCTCCAGAAAATAAAGCAGACCTTCCTAACACATCCTCAGGTTACAGAAACATTGCACTACATTGGGGATCAGCTCCATGCATGTGCTGCTAATGTGCTTTCGCTGTAAGGTCGGGTGGTTTGCAAACACTGAGGGCATTCAGGAGGTCTACAAATATTGCAGGTTAGTCAGTGCACAAACTAATTATCTGTATTCACTAAGGTCATATTGAGCACGTAAATATGGAGCAGTTGAGCAGATGGACATTCTCATTCACTTATGCAAAGCAGGATAATTATTTATATTGCTATAGCACCTAGGAGCTCTATTCTTGGACCAGCTCCCTTGTGTTTCACACTTTATATTCATAGGAAAAAAAATTAGGCAGCCCTTTTCCTAATGAGATTACAACCTAAATCTAATAAAAAACAGAAGACAAAGGCTGTACAGGCTGTACCCAGCTCAGGGGAGGACAGCAGAGCACTTGCTGCTCCTGACATGAAGGGCAAGGACCTCAGCACTTTCTAATCACTGCACACAGTTTTGGGATGCGGGGGCATACATTTGTACAGGTAGACAGAGAGAGAGAGGTACAAAGCTGGCTCTTCTGAAAGACCTTTGCAAAAATACRCTTGCCTTCCTGAAAAGGAAAAAGCTGCTTCCCCAACCTCCTCCATGTAAGAGTAATCCTAGCACTGCCTGCAGAAGCAGCAGAAGCTCTTAAAGCTTTCCATCATGTTAAGATTTGTGGCATCTTCTCCTGARCTGCTGGCTTTTCACTTCAGCCTAAGTCACAGTGTGCAAAGCCTTTGAAGTTAAAGCATCCGAAGTCGAAACTGTGCCAGAAAGACAAACTGCAGGGCTTCCATTAAATAAATAAATAAAACCTCTTTTAAAGCCTCTTTTTTTCCCTTCTCCTTTTTTTTTTTTCTGCTTGCAGGCTGCATTTAAAGGCTACTTTTTTTGCTGTAAGTAGGATAAAACCTTTTCTGCTTTTTTTTTCTCATCTTGTCATTTGAAAATAGCTGCAGACCGGAGCTGTCTTAGCATCAAAGTGATAACTGCCTCTGGACCCAACAGACATCAGTCGTGGTGGTTTGGAAAGAAAGGGACCCTGGGGATTTGGGTGCTGAGGGCCAAATACAGCAGGCACCATCCGATAATGACAGAATTACATGTGAGATAGTTGTCCTCATTAAACACTAAAGCCACAACCCTGTTCTGCACGAAGTCATTTTTTCACTGCTCTTGCTCCAAGTTGCCTTTTCTGTGTCTTCCCTGCTCATGAGGAAAGTTAATACTAGAGGTATTCATGATGATTGATAACACATATACTTTATTCATTGCCTATTAGCATTCCGTAATGATGTTTCAGTAATTATTTTAATTAGTTTTCCAAAAAAAGGAAAAGTAATGAGTCCTTAATGCTTGTTGGTGTTTGGTTTAAACCAATTGCTCACAGATGGCTCACTGCTTTTARTGAATGAATGGAAGATATTTAATGGAATTTGGGAGTTGTAGCCATGTGCACCACATCTCTACATCTGTAAACGCTTGTCTTTTTTCCCCCTACATCTAAGACAGCCCCAAGAAAAGACCAGTCCATGTCAATCCCTGGGGAGCTGGGCAGACYTCACGTTTATATTAGCGACAGCTGTAATCCTGCCTCTTTTTATATGCACGGTCACACACAGCCAACACGCAAAGACGGGGACGGTTAACTGGCAAGAACTGCCTGAGAAGGCAAGGAATCCTTTCCACAAACATCCAATGGGCCAAAAGCAACACAAATAACAAATACGGGCAGAGCCAATAGATAAAATCTGCTGTTGTGCACCAACAGCACGTTCCAGCAGCAGCACAAGGCTCACAAGCCACCCTGCAAATGCTTTTGCTCTTCACTAGTCTCGATCCAGAGACCTCCTACCACCCATGGGGCACGTCTAAATCCTTACCCACATGCTCAGTGTCTACGTTTTCTTGCTATACTACCACATGTTGCCTTGCTGAGACATGGGACTTGAATGTAGCGGCATGAAAATGTTGTCTCCTAGGGTATTTCCCTCATGCTTGTTTCCTCCTCACCTATTTTTCTGCATTTGGAATTAAATTAATAGCAACGTGGGTGAAGGCGAAGTTGCAAGAGATGGTTATAGCCATAGAAATGCTATTATTTTTAATTTTCCATCATTAAAATGTGTTTCTGTAAGGGTCACCAGGGTAGTTGTTAAAAAAGACGTTAAGAATAATGGGAGCAGAGTTCCACCGACGCATTCWGCATGTGCTTTAATTTGATTTGACTTTGTAGCATGAAGTTATTTATGTTGGCTGAGAACTACTCTGACTGAACACCAACTGGGAAAATCATAGCCAAGCCCATTAGTTTTTTGCCAGCCCCTCTCAGTCGGCCAGGCTCTGCCACCCAAGGTAGGATGTGCAAAGCTGGATGGGCACGTGCAAGGTAGCTCTCATGGGCAGGCACGCTGCGGGGTTGGACAATGATCTCTAGAGGTCCCTTCCAACCTCAACCATTCTGTGATTTTGTGATTCTGTAAGGAGCTCTGTGTACTCAGAGCCCTGCTGCAATGCTGATCTTTCCCCATTCTTGCACTTGCAGCTGGGCTGCATTTAGCAGAAAGGCCTTACGTGACTCAGTGCAGGCATTAAGGCATGGCATTGTACCCAGAGAAGGGTAAAGGGAGCGGAAATTTAATGCAATTTGAGCAGAAATCTCAAGCCATCAGTAGCACTGGGCTGAATAGCAAGGCAAATGAATAARACCCCGCTGCTCTGCTGTTCTGCAGGAGCCAAGCCCCATCTCCCCCCCACGCCGCTTATTTCCCTGACGTTCCAGTTTGGCAATTGCCCAAAGGCTAATTAGGAACCTTAATTTTCACTTCTGTGAGTAGCATCACAGTGAGAATTCAGGAAGAAGCAATAACAATAATTTCTTCACAAACAGCAAAAACATTTGCTGTGCATTAAGCGCCTAAAGACAACTGGAAGCACACTCAATGGCTGAGCTGACTCATATAAGGGAACCCAGCAGAATAAAAGCTGGGAAAAGAAGGGTTTCTCTCTCTGCTACTGATTAAAATGAGTTATAAATCTGAAAACTGAGGGAGTTGGAAAATTTTGCATCTCAAGCTTGGAAGAAAAGGCAACCCCTTACAATGGGAAAATGTGCAGAATTTACATTCAGGTCATTGCTTGAATTTCAGACTACCCTAAATTGCAGTCACCAAGCTCAGAGGAAGTGATGTGGTCCAGAGGCTCCCTCCSAGGAAGCCACAGGCACAAGGCAGGGATGAAAAAGGACAAGGAAGAGGCATGAAACAAGGAGACACAAGATTCAGCTGCCCTAGACATTTCAAGAAGTCTGGAGAAAGGAAATTGGTCCACAGTAAGGATGTGCAAGAAAGTCATGATTTTGTAAAACATCTCAGCCATTATTATTGACAAAATATCAATCTGCAGATAGTTTTGGAGCAGAGACTCTTCCTTTTTTTTTTTAACTTCAATGAAGTTGCTCAAATACTGCAAAGTCAATGGTTCAATGTTGCCATTTTGCACATGTGAGTAGGTTTGAAGTCATAATCTGCCTCTCACCAAAGTATACTTCACCAAAGCATTTACTGTCACTACTCCTGACCATTTTCCATCTTTAATTTTCTTCCCCAAAGCTGGAGTTGTTGATGCTTGCATTCCATACTAAGGCTAGCTGTGCTATCAAAGGAGAGCATGACTAGTACAAGCAAATGTCCCAGTGTGGAGCTGCATTATGCAGCCAATGGACCATATCTTTGGCTGATATAAACTTGGACAAAGTTTCTATCTTGGATGGGCCTCGACAGTTATCCCTATGCTACAATCTGTGTGTATTTATCATGAGTATTTTTACATTCCATATTTATTCTCTTCTTCTCAGCAGGTCCTATACTGGAGTGAGTCAGTGTTAAAGTTTATGAGTAGATCAGGTGGATTTACAGTTAGTTGAAGTGAACTTCCTCATTCCTGATAAAATGTGAGCATTCCTGGTAAAATGCAATTACAGTTTAAAACATCTCAGTGTCAGTGATATCTTACCAGGTCCTTGGAAGTCTTCATAATCCTTTTTGCTTTCCTTATTGCAGTACTTAATCCCATCTAGGAAAGCAAGACAAGAAAACAAACAAACAAACAGATCAGCTTTACAGTATCCTGTCATTTTTGTCTCCTCATTTTCTACCTTTTCTAACCAGCCACATAAAAAAAGATATATTGGTCCAGAAATTCATCATCAGTTACCTTTTATTGGACTATCAATCAGTTATCCTATCACTGTTTATGAAACCATACTTGCAACAGTTCATTTATTTTGCTCAAGGGCATCATTTATTTCCTAAGGGAAAGTCCAGATTAGTTTAAGAGTTGAGATTCATATCCTGACTATGCTCTAAGACTTGCAGATGGCAAGCTTCTCGAGCAACTCCCACCAAAGAACAGCTAAGTCGCTGTGGCAGGATACAGAGGAAACATTTAGTTTGGAAACAAATAGGATTTATACTTTGCTGAGGTTCGTTTCAACAGCTGTCRTGTGGGAAGATTCAAAAGAGGAAATATATTTCAGAAGGCAAATCTCCGGCTTAGGAATGAGTTAGGAACGAGTTAAGCCTAGGATGTAGGAAGTTTAATTTGTTATTCTGGAAATATCCATCTTGTAGGGTATGTTCTTGCTGACTGCGACAAAACTGTTTTTCTGTTGAATCATATAAGCTTGTGCTGAAGGAGAATTTGGGGATTGTTTCAAACTGAGGGTAAGAATACTTAAATAGAAAAGAAGGCTGGGAGAACCATTGCAAAGAGGGCTAGAAAAGACCTTGGCAARACATCCTTATCTAGAGGAGAAATTGGCTATCATAATGCCATTGATTACAAAGAAGTCAACTACCATTGCTACCTTAGTAAGTCCTCAAAGCCYGTCTCTAACGCTTTGATCCCCAATAGTAAAAGGGAAATTTTACTCAATGGCCACCTCTCCTTCTGGGCTCAGCTGAGATGCTGTTGGCCTGCCCTGTGGCTGGAGGAAGATGRCGGTGCCATGTGTTGTGTGTCAGGACTGAGGTCAAGGTGTTACCTGCAGGTGACATTTGCACCTGCAGACCTCTTTAATGCAAACTTTGGCCTTCCTCTGGTTGTGTATATGAGATCTAGACTGGAGGAAACGTAGTTGTGGAGATCCAATGCACAGGAAAATATTTGCTTTCARACATCAGCACTTGCCTAAGACCAGCTGCTGCTTCCTTCTCAGTTTGGAACAATATTCTTCCATCTCAGTGTTGGTAAATCCCAGATGTTGCTCTGCTTTTGTTGTGCCACCTTTGAAAACAGTCATACCTATGTCCTGCCCTCCACCTGTCCCCTGAGCATTTGCTATGGAAAAGGCTAAAAATGCTGCCCACTTGCCCTCTTTCAGAAGAAATAACTGCGTCCGTCTTGTAGGCTACGAAGCTTGCTAAAAATCCATTACTGCTGAAAATATTTTGGATGGAAAGAAAAATCATACCAGCCTATCACTAACCCATTAGCACTTTGCTGCTAATCAAAATGGTCGGTTGGGACAAACTGTTCTGTCTGCCAATAACCCGCTAGCAGTCCCTCCTACAACCCAGCACAAAAACATCACAGCAAGCTTTATTTCTACCAGGTCTGAAGGCTCCGAGGTAAAGTTCAGTGCAAGTTTATATTTATCTGGCTGGAGTTACAGCAATGCAATGTGGGGAAAAAGTGTGCTTTGCCAAACGGCAGATTTAAAGCATTAAAAAAAAAAAAAAAAAGCAAAAAACAAAAATATTCCTTGAGTGATAGCACCTTATTGAATGGCGAGCATGCCAGCTTGGAATATTAAAGCAGCATATATTTGCATTTCAAGCAAGCATTATCAACATTTTTCTTTTTCTGGGGATAAAATTTAGCATGTCACTATAATTGATTTAGGCAGTGATCAAAGCAAATTAATTAACTGGGAAATTTAAGGGTCAAAAATTAACAGTGAACAATATAAAAGGATGAGGAAGAATAAAAATAAGTATTTAAGAACAAGTAAAGAATATAGATTTRATACAGTTTTTCTTTTTTTTTTTTTTAATATTGAGCCTCACTCTGCCTACAGTCTTTATAAAAATCTGGATATGTCACAAAGAGATGAAAGATGCCAGTAAGAAGCCAAGATAATGTTTCCTAGTTTCTTCCCTCTGGGCAAATTCTGTCCCCAAAAACAAACATCCATCTTGCATTTGCAACAGTTATGTTGTGTGTATGTTATCAGCCGCTGTCATTTCTGTAATAAAATAGCTGGAGACTCAGAGAAGGAAAATAGCTTAAAATTGAGCAAGATGCACCAAAAAAAAAAAAAAAAAAAAAAAAAAAAAAAAAAGGAAAAAATCCAGTGGAGTAAGATTCATCAATCCTTTCCTTCTGTACAGGAGAATTGCTTTCAGAAGCAATGCCCATTTCAGGCAGCTCTGGCATATTACACACAGACATGAAATAAGAATGGAATGGCCAAGTTGCCTTTGTGAGTAGAAAATTTTGGAGTCTCCCTGAAATGCTAAGGAGAAGGTTTCCTCCCCTCTCCTGGCTGTGTAGAAGCTGCTTCAGGAAGGAAGAACYAGAGGAGATAACCAAGACCCACTGTTTTAATGGGTTTTCATATGTAGTTGCTGTCAGGGTTTTGAGGGTGTTACTGAGAGTCACACGGCCCATACGACTTCTCTTGTTGCCACTCAGCTATAGAGTAACCTCCACTCCTTCCCAGCACCTTAAGAGCAACCTAGACCTGTGGCCACCCTGGAGCTTTTGGTTGCCTGGTCCTTGGGTGCTGGGGACACCAAGCCGGGCTGCTCTTGGCAGGATGTGCCCACTGCACCTGCTTGCTGTTTTGAACGCTGTCTGAGAGCCTATGCATTACCAGTAATGATTTTTTTTTAATAGGTTACATTTCTCATTATGAACAAACAAACGAACAAGCTTTAATTGCCTCTCATTAATCACTCCTGTTAGCCAGCGCTCTCCCAGGAGAGCGGATGTGTATAACACACACCAGTAGTTTCTCTTCTGTCTTCTTCCACTATCCATTCATCGAGGACATGCATACCGAGTACCAAAATGCTACACAGCTTGTTAAGCAGCACTAGCAAAAAGGGATTTGTCCTACAACTCACCCCTTTTATCTGTCAGAAGCTCTGAGGGACATCACTAAGATTATTGATGGGACAGCCAAAGCAAATGAGATGTACTCTGGGCTCAAAATATAGAACTTCCTGCAAGCACAGATCTAAAACACTCCAAGATTGGCTCAGGCCTTAGCTCCCAGGGAAACTTCCCTGACTTCAGGTAATTTTTGCCTATCTACTGTATGAGGATCCTGTGTGTTCTGGATGAAATATCCTGACCTGCTATTTCTTGTTGATCTTGGCAAAAAGAAAGCTGGCCCCGTATCCATGAGTAATACTTCCCTCACATATCCTTCTGCCTACTATCCTCCTCCATGCCTCTTGCCACATGCAGGGCACACAGGTATCAGTTATGAGACTGTGTTCTGTGAGGGCCATCCCGTTTACAAATGACAGGGTTCATTTAAGCAGAGGATCACATAGATGATGAACCAATATTTCCTTCAGGTTTATTTGAGGCCTGTGTCTTTTTTATATAGCTTGTATAAACTGTTTCTTCATAGTGCAATTCTGACTCGAGTAGAAGCATCTCATGTTTTAGTAGATTTTACCTATTTCCAAAACCGAAAGGCTTAATGGAGGTGGCAGGGGGAAAATTTTTCTTCCCAGGACTTCCTAGGATGCTACATCCTAGCTGCTTTGCCATCACAAAACAAGAATTTGGAGCCATGACATACATAAGATGCTGATTGGCTGAAGATCTAATCTCATCAGGAGTGCAGAAGTACTCCTACCCCAAAGTCTGGGCGTCGGACTCATCTCCCACTAAACAGTTCACATTTCCACAAAAAACAATAATAAAAAAAAAAAAGAACAAAAGAAAATAAATAGTAGGAGTGTGTTTATGAAACCTAAACTGCTTGCTTCTTCCAAACAGATCCTACTGGCTTTTATCTTGACAAGGCTTGAAGTCTAGCTGAGAACTGACAGATCCTGAGCTAGACACTGGTTGCTCAGACAGCCTGGATGGCTGAGACGATACATCCACAGTTAGTCTGGCAGACTGGAGGAGCTGCAGACRCTTCTTTATACATTAACTTCATATCACTCTCACTGTGACCTGGCTGTTTCCATGCATTTCCTTTCTTTAACTATGCTTTGCAAAATGCCAGTTGCCTATCAGCAAGGCAATGGGCTCCTAAGGTGCAGGTTCAAATGGGAAGTATGCCTTAATTTTAATGCCCAGTTCCCAAACAAGAAAACTTCTATTAACTCCACTGAAATTTGATTTCTAGCATAAATAAAGCTTTTGGACAATTCACATCATCCAGAGAAGCTGCAAGTTCCAACCACAACACCCAATATCAAAACTGCAAGGCCAGACTTTCTCCAAAGTGTGCAGTGCATGAGAAAGGGGATTTTTATTTTTACAAAGCCAGTGAGTATGAGCACTTCTGCCAATGAAGATTTTGTTGGTAAAAGAGCATACCAAAGGGCACACGACATCAACATGCATCATTCTGTCTTTGCTGATATGAGATGCCTCTATATAGTCAGTTTAGACCTACCAGCAACACCTTACTACTGGAGATGTGGCTAAAGTCTGTAACCACAAGGTCTCTGATAACTTGAAGCAGACAGTGTCGCAGCTCTCATACTAAAGGCACGAACACCCTGTACTTTGCAGGAAACATGCAGCAGATGAGCCTACAAATGCACATGTGTTTGCCCTTCTTTCAGTTCAAAGACAACTGCAAAGAGGCCATGGAGTGTGGAGCCCATGTGTCCCCATCAAAGAGATGGAGTGGGCCAGGCCCATGACCTGCCCAAGCTTCCTATAGGTCTCTGCATGCCAGAAAAGCAGATATGGTGCCCACCTGAGGAAGGGGCCCACTCTTGGTGGAGACCAGGCACATTTTATGCTTGCCTTGGGTCAACACACCCAGGGAATGCACCAGTTAGGCCACCCTTAGCTGAGAGCATTTCACTCCCTGCGAAAAGAGCAGTATTTTTAATTCATAATTGCAGGCAAGTCTCCCACAATAATCACAGAGCACTAATGGCTCCAGGCAGGTTGGCAAAAATTAATTTGTGCTAATCTGTCAGAGACGAGGGAAGTATGTTATATAATTCATGTATCATTTACTTGGTTTACAATATCTCTATTATGTAGATAGTTTRCTAGTCCTCTGAAAGTAACTCTCATCTCCTTGAAAGACGGGACTTTACTAGAGGAACAACATAAAAGCAGAAAAAAAATTAACTATTTACTGAAAAAGGTATCTATAAGTTGATTTTTACCTTGTTAAAGAAAATTAAAACCAGAATATTCTGCTGCTTTATAAAGATGACTAACTCCACATTTATTGTACTCACTTCATCAGTACAAATATGGTACTAATTCTGGGAAAATGTTCATTCAAAAACCTAAATGAATAAACGATGTACCTGAAAATCAATAGAGTTGAACAAAACAGCCATTAGTATTAAAGTCTTGTTCAAACACTTGGCAGGGGACTGAGCCAACATTTGTAGGCTCATATAACTGAAGTGATCAATCAAATTACAAACCAAAGAAGCAAATGTGAGGTAAACTGAATTGTATGCTTCTCTGTCTCTGACTGTATATTAATTTCTTCACCCATATTTCATCTTTACTCAGTCTGACTTGTCACAGAGTTACTGTCAACAATTTATCAACCACTTGAGCATGAATATAAACAGCGCTCCATTCCTCCCCTGACACTTTCTTGGGGCACCAGAAGTGCTAAAAATGGAAGGTAAGCTTTAGGTACAAGAAATCGTTTTGTTGTCCTGTCTCCCCTACTCCTGGTGAGAGGCAAATAAAATTTGACAAAAAGTAGGATGTGAATGTCACTTGGGAGAGAGACTATCATCTGAGCCATGCACTAACACGCATGCCAGTCCAAATTTTGCTAAAAACAAAACAAATCAAACATTTGCAGTCAATTTCCTTAAAGAAAGCATAGTCAATGGGGTTGCAGCTGAAGGTAAAAGGTGCCAGCAGCTGTGTCCCACATCTGCTCTAAGAGATGGGAAACGTGACCCAGAGATTTGATGGCAACCATATCACAGATGGCTTGCACACTCCTGGGAAAGCCTACAGGTCTTTGCCTTCTTCTCCACCTTGTGGACTCCTTATTAAAAAGAGAGACCCCACTGCCCTTGACAGGGCCTCTGCAGCTGCTACGAGGAAGCTCTTTGAAGTGTCAGAGAGGAAAAATCATGCAATGACAAGGACAGAACGTGACAGACTAGCAAATGTTTGTGTAATGAGCAAAGATCTAGAGATAATTAAAGGAGGGATTGCAGCAGGGCAGGTCTGATGCAGCCTGGGGAAAAGTGGATGGAGTGTTTACAAGTGGTGTTCCCCAGGGGTCAGTGTTAGGGTCAGCCCTCTTTAATATCTTTTTTGATGATCTGGAAGAGGGATTAAGTGCACCCTCAGCAAATGTGCAGACAACACCAAGCTGGGAGGAAGAGTAGTTCTGCTTGAAGATAGAAAGGCTCTACAGAGGAATCTGGACAGGCTGAATCAGAGCACTGGCACAGGCTGCCCAGAAAGTTTGTGAAGTCTCCTTCTCTGGAGATCTTCCAAACCCACCTGAATGCGACCTTGTGCCTCTGCCCTAGGTGTCCCTGCTTGAGCAGGAGGGTTGGACTAGCTGATCTCTAGAGGTCCCTTCCAACCTCAACCATTCTGTGATTCTGTGGATCGATGGGCTGAGACCATCCATATGAGGTTCAACAAGGCCAAGTGCTGGGGCTTGTATGACTTCAGTCACAACAACCCCATGCAAYGCTACAGGCTTGGGGCAGAGAGAGTTGGAGAGTTGCGTGGAAGAAAAGGATCTGGGGATGTGGGTTGACAGCCAGCTAAACATGAGCCAGCAGTGCCCAAGGCGCCAAGAGCACCAGTGGCCTCCTGGCTGCTATCAGGAACAGGGTAGCCAGTAGGAGCAGGGCAGTGATCGTCCCCCTGTACTTGGTGATGATGAGGCTCCACCTCAAATACTGTGTTTAGTTCGAGGCCCCTCACTGCAAGAAGGACATTGAGGCACCGGAGTGTCCAGAGAAGGGCAAGGGAGCTGCTGAAGGGGCTGGAGCACAGACCTTATGAGGAGCGGCTGAGGGAGCTGGGGTTATTTAATCTAGAGAAGAGGAGACTCAAGGGAGACCTCATCCCTCTCTACAACTACCTGAAAGGAGGTTGTAGGGAGGTGAGGGGGTGGTCTCTTCTTGAGAATAACTACAGATAGAACAAGAGGAAATGGCCTCAAGTTGCACCAGGGGAGGTTCAGGTGAGACATTAGGCAGAATTTCTACACATAAAGAGGGGTGAAGCATTGGAAGAGGCTGGCCAAGGAAGTGATGGAGTGACTATCCCATCCCTGGCAGCGTTCAAGAAACGTGTAGATGAAGTGCTTAGGCACATGGCTGCCATTCTTGGAAATCAGTTATTTTTTTAGGTGTTCAGATCCTGGAGAACTAAATCCAACCTGGACATGAATCAAAGCTCACTAAAGCCAATAACAAGGCTGTTTTTAATGGATGTTGGGTGAGGCCTTGTTTAAAACATTTTGTGGAAATCTTTACAATCTTTAGATGAAGTCAAAGGGGACTTCATTTATATGCAAAAGAAAGATTTTCAGAAATAGCTGCTTAAATGAATATTCAGTTTTTGAAATTACCAAACAACCACTTTCTCGCTGTTTTCAGTGCAAATTGGGCTGCACAATGACTGAAAAAAAATCAAACCACCTCTGTTTAAACATCTATGCCCAGATGCAAGCGTTAGAGAGTCAAGTAGCTCTGACATGCAGTCTAGTTACCATGGCATAGTAAGTCACTGTATATCATAAGAGCTGTGGTAACTGCATATGTAAATACTTCCAGCCTCTGGCAAAAGGTTATGCAAGTTAGCTTAAGCCTCTTTCATTGCAGACTGTGCTAAATCAAATAACTTTGCATTTGCAGAGGGTAACTAGGGCCTACGCAGGCTGTCATAGCAGATCAGGCAACGAGAGGATGACTTGCTATGTCACAGTAATGTGATAGCATAGATGAACCTCAGCTGAATACCTGCTTGGGTCTTATTGTACTGCTTTGCCAGTAAAATCTAGAAAAAAATGTGTCTTTTTTTCTCCTACTCTTCTCTGGCCTACACTACTTTTCTTAGACTCAGGTACAAGAGAATGTTTCCCTGCAATTCCCCCTCTTTGATAAGCATGCTTATGAGAACCTGCAGAGCAGGATCATGTGTAGCCATGGAAGCAAACAAAATGTACTATACAGTTAACATCCATACAGACGTTACTGAATGCATCCCCACTTGAAATGGCAACATTTGTTTCCCCACATGAAGCACCTACATTGAAAGCCTCTCTGCGCTCTACTGCTCTAGCTTAAAAGACCTTCCACGGCCTGCCATTTTGAAAAACATCTAAAAGAAACTCACCTGAGGAGGAGGGTAGAGATGACAAAGTGGTTGTCCGGGATCCTGTTTACACAGCTTCAAGGAATGGCACACCACATCAGCATTCATTTCCCTGTCTATGCTGAAGGAAATGGTGTGAGAACAAAGACTATTATGTTCTTCTGGATGCTTGAAGGTACAAGCTATTTCCATGGGAAGGTAAATCTCCACCGTGCTATACAATAGTCCTGGCTCACTTCACTGTGGCCTGTAATCGCTGCTCAGTGTAGTGTTGGATCTTAATGATTTTCTGCCATGGCATCCTACTCAGCATTTAAAATCGGATCCCAGGATGATGAAAAAGCACTGTGCTTTACAGGCAGCACCCGAGTCAAATACATTATGACTGTTCTGTTTTTTAATCAATCATATGCATGACAAAGATTTAAAGGTTAAAGTTAATACATATGCAATTTGGCACATACAAACGCTCAATGATTAGCTACAGAAAATAACCAGAAATCCTTCAAAGGTCCTTAACCTTTAATCACCTCACACAAGTTCTATGATGGTTTCTTTCTTTACTGGAGACACAACTATGGGCTAATCTAGAATTAAGCTGAAATCTTTGATTATAGCACTTCCTTGTCCTGTAAGCAATTTGAAATCCYTTGGCTAGATTTAAAAATAAAACAGACAAACAGAAAACCCTAGGGAGGAGGAAGCTCTACCAAAAATTGTTAATTAATCTAGGACCTTTAAAGAGAAATAAAATAACCTACACRTAAATTTTAAAATTCTTTACTTTCTGTAGGAAACCTCCTCCAAAAGCGTGCATGAGTGAGGCCAGGCCTGATAGCAGGTATAGCTAGCAATCAAAAAATTGATTAAAGGCAGAAGGGAAAGCAAGAAACAAATACTACACCATATAGCTCTGCTGAGCCTGTCATACACACACAAGGTCATTCAAATTCCTCCCTCAGCCAAATGAGCTGACATTCAGAAGGCAATTACCTCAGGTAGGCCTGAGCTGAGATTCAAATGCATTACAAAAATGGTTACCAGCAGCATCCGGTATTTATTCGCTCAGCTACATGGGGTCTTTCATCCCAAGTGCCCAATCTAGAATCGTTGTCAAACATCTCTGCTTTAATACCAATGTGCTTTTAAAAATGCAAACACCACTCTTCGGTCTGACTCTACATCCATATGTGCAAAGAACAAGTGAACCAGAGATTTGAAATGATATAGGGAGGCTTACAGTTCAGCTAGGTGCGGTCCATAAAATTCAGCAAGTAGGTAGCAGAAACCTTGGAGATCTTCTAGAAAACATAAAATATAAAATAACTCAGCACAATGGAACTGATATTGTAATAGATAACACAGAGGAGATTTTCTCTCCTAAGAAAATCCCTAATTATTTTAGAGGAATGCACCTGAATCTATGACCCCACCATCTGAATTTCTAACCAAGGCTGTAATGCTGTAACTCAAATTGCCTCTCTGTCTTTAAGCCAACCACACAGGAAAGGCTGAAAAGGATAACTAGCATTTGTTAAATGCTCTGCAAATAGCATAGCATAAAAGATAAAATAAACCATATTATATATGGTACAGCATTTCCTAAGCAGTTTAAACAAACAACTTGGTAGGCTTGCAAGAAGAAAGAAAACAAATACATAAATCAAAGTGCAGAACATGATATAGTACTTCACGCTGCTGCTAGAGCTGCCTTAGCACTTCTGGGTGTTTGTACAAGTAAGGAGAATCTATTTGTGTAGAACAGCARTTGAATAGAAATAATTAAACTTTAAAAACATTTGACAATTCTTTTTTGCTTCCTCTTGCATTTGACAGCATGGGCCTTTTCTGGAAGGTAGCTCAGATTGCTTTGCTGTAATCTAGATGAAACATGTCATTCGTGCTGACCAGGAGATAACATGTTATAGATTTATTTAAGGTAGTTATATTAGGRAAAAAAAAAAAAAGTTCTCTTATCATTTTATAAGTCTTCAACAAAGACAATTTTGCAGGAGATGTGTGTGTTTAAATGCAGAGGTATCGTGATAGTAGTACTGATATGACAGTTCCTATGAAGAAAAAAAAGATTATTTCTTGGCCTGAGTGACAAAAGTGAGGCAATTTAATTAACCATGGAACTATTATCCAAAGAAGGTGTCAGGTCTTGTTTCAGCAGTAGTGTTACTATTAAAAGCTATGAAGAGGTAGGTTCACACACATGCTGCAATGACAAAGTACAACAAATTTACAACTCCTTCAATAACATATCATTTTCCCTTGCCCCTCCATTACCCAAATAGGTGTTGGGAAAGAAAATACCCAAGATGTTCATATTCCACAGGAAAAAAAAAAATACAGATATCCCTGAAGCGCCCAATTTAACCAGATTTTAGACTGTGGAACCTTGGATGTGACCCACTCTCAGGCTGGAGATATCTCAAGATGGGGATCTAGCTGCTTTCCTTGCTAGAGTTAAGTCACACCAGTCAGCAACCTGCATCTCAAGGAGGGGAAGTGGGCTCTACACTGTGGAGCAGGGCAGAAGAAAATAAGTTCTGGGCATCCTCCTAGTGATATCGAGATGCAGTTGCTGTAGCTACTACAACTGATTTCCCTGCTTCCCTGGATATCTTATTTCAGTGAAGTTGCTAGCCTCATTTCTTTGCCTCCTTTGCCACATAATTYCTCTCCACTGGCTCTTTTGGAAGCAATCTGCAAGTTAAAAATTGGTCTCCTGACTAGAATCAGATTTTATTCTTGCTCACCTAAAAGCAACACATCACAGGCATCAGTAACCCCACATTTGATATCATCACTATTTAAAACACTCTGGGACAAGGCTTGACTCCCTCCAGGCACACGCAGAAACAGGATCCAGCTTCTCCATGAGCTCTCTAGCACAGCCACAGGAGAATCTCCTTAAAGGCTTCCAAAGGCAGCTGGTTTCCATAATGTTTCTGGCCCTGGAGGAGTCATCTGGCTGCTGTAACCCACAGTGTGAACTGAGAGGAGGGGAGGGTTTTGGCCAGATGTCCATTATGGGGAGCTGATGCTGGGGGGCTGCTGGCAAGGCTGATTTCTTGTCAAAGATCTTCTTGTGAGCATAGGGAGCTCAAAATGCAATTGTCCAATGGGATAACAGAAGGGAGAATGGTGGGAAGTAAAAGGAATAGAAGGAGGAATAGAAATAACATAAAATGGTTTCTAGTAAAACAGACCCGAGTCATGAGCACTGCTTGCAGGTCTTGCTCTCCAAGTCAGAGAGAGGAAGAGAGAGAAAATAATAAAAATAATAATTTGGAGTGTTCGGGGACAAGAGAAGAGCTTAAATCAAATTAAAAGCTGGAGAAATTAGGAAAAAAATGGAGACATTTGGCCAGAAATTAGTATATTTGATTTTGCCCAACTTCTATCTGTGCAAAACTCCGACTTGACTCATTCTTACCATGAAAAAAATTCCTGCAGATTCACAGTCCTAGAAACACAATCTTTGGCCAAATCCCAGACGACAAATATTTGCACGGAAGATGACATTAATCATGTTGCCATTTCCACTTGAGCTCCAAGGTGTTTACACAGCAGCGGCCGGCACAGAAGCAGAGCATGACTCAGAGGCGATGCCAGAGATCGACGTCTCAGAGTTTGCTTCGCCTACCGGGCACCTCTGTTTCACCAGGCAGSCAGCCAGTGCACACACAAACATATATTCTTACTAGCAACGTCTCTTGTGCCATAAAAAACTGCCCATTCCCCTGGATCTGACACCTGTGTCTGCTCAAGAGGCTCCTTCACCCACAACGTTACCACTCTTACTTCTCACCGGAGTACAAGCCATGTTGCTTCGAGTAGATGCATAACAAATATTYCTATGTAAATATTTATGTATCATATTTATGTAAATATAGTTGTTTTCTACATAATCTAAAAGATTCAGTGGGACTGATAGGTACAAATTTTCCTCTCTCCTTTTCTCTAAATATTTTTTGCTCTTGAACAGTTTCTAACTTCACTGAAGGACTGATCTGTGCTTTTGTTGCAAGAAAATTATATAGGCCCATAGTAAAACCAAGTTCTTATTCCTGTTTAGTCCTAGGAAAAGTCTCATTGCCATCAATTTGCCTCTGTTATTCCTGCAAGCAACTGTAGGCATGTTCATAACAATGAAATTATTTATTCAGCTGAAATAGCATAGCCTGTTTTAATAGGTTTTCTCCTAACGAGTCCCAAACTATTGTTTCAAGCAGCATGAAGAAGCCAATGATTTGTATTTCAGTGTTCACCGCCTGGGAGAGGATAAATTGGGTTAGGCTGTAGCTGCTGCACAATCCACAGGATTTTGCTCTCATTTCAAGTTCAGGGTCAATTTTTTTCTCTTGTCTGTATCCATGCATCTCATGGAAGGTAACTGGATTATACAGATTTAACTGAAGGGATAATAGGATTTTATGTGTAAAGAGTGGCAGCTGAACAAAAATATCTTGACATGTCAGCTGAACAAGGTTCACTGAGTGAAGCATGAATGTAGACCTAGCAACTCATATTTTAAAGAAGGAATTTTTTGTTTTTAAGAGCAGGATCAGGACTTCTAATTGCAACTTCACAGTTATGTGCCTGTAATTTAAAATACTAAGAGTATGATTTATTAAACAGAAATCAGATAAGCATCATTCTGTTAATGAATGATTTCTAGCAATTACCTCCATGCCCCATCCTATTCCAAAAATAGTATTTTAGAAAGGAGAAAATTGATACTCTGCATATATCTTCTATGAAACTAAAGACTACAGAGCAAGAGAGCTTCTTGGAGACACAATACATGAAATCTTGTATAAATGACTTTTTAATGACGAATTCTTAGCCATCTTTTTTCATTCATAAAATTAAAAAGACATCATAAACTTGGGATCTAGTCACTTAAATAGTTACCGGATTCATCTATGAATCAAGTCATTCTTTTATTTCAACCATTATCTGGATGATAAAGATGTCTACAGAGTTGCATTTTTAGATAGCCAAATGCTTTTCCGGTGCTGAAATAAGGGTGAGAATAAAGGGAGTCTGTAAATGTTCATATAGAAGGGCTATTGCTTTTGAGATTTATATCATGAGTTACATTTCAATAGTTTCCCCATGCAGACCGAACAGTTCACATCTTACATCTGCTAGCCTCAGCTAGTTGTTATTATTTTACAATAGTGGCATCCTATACCTGGAATCACTCCCATCTTCACAGTAGCTGTAAAGACCCATGTCAATGAGAAAGAGACKTGGTTGAACATACAGTGATCCTGACTATTTTTAAGCTACTTGCAAAGGCACCAATTAAGTGGAGAAAAAATTATGTGGGGGAAGGTGTGYGTGTGTATGTAGGTGCAGAAATGCCTGTGGACTTAATGCAACCCGTACTAACTTTGGGATGAAATCCCAGCTCCACTGAATTCAGGTGAGTCATACCACTGGCTTCCCTGCTCATAACACCTTGCTGTCTTTCAGCTACACTAATTTTAGATGCTGAAGCATTCTTTGAGAAGCAGATAAAGCATTTTATTTTCACACTACAATACAAGTTTTTAATTACCAGAGAAATACAGCAGTACCAACATAACATATGGCATATTATTTGACACTTACCAGGTATGTAGTTGCATAGTCTCTCCAAGGCTGCTTTTACTGTACTGTTGTGCAACTGTGCAAGCTGTTCAACCACAGAGACCACAAGCACACAGCCTGCAAACAAAGAAAACAGAAGAGTGAATACGATTACCTCTGTCATTTGATGAAGCACTCTGCACCATAAAGGAATCTTGGGTGTCGTTGGCCATTTCATTTCTTGAGATGTTCCATGGCATATGAGTGTAGAGGGGGAAAAAATACCTGTGAGGTTCTGCCTTTACTCAAAAATTGTGACTTATCTGACCAGAGACCAGATGCCAGCAGAGGAATGTGTGTAACTCCCTGCTTCTTATAGCACTGAATGTGAGCACTGACCATTTGGGCCACTGTGATGTGGCCTTTTCATGGAATTTGTTCTGCAGTCCAGTGGTGAATGGCATATGTAGGGCCTCTGGGCTCAATCACACATTTCCCAAAGCCAAAACATCTCCTAAATTTACTCTGCTCTCCTGTGGTTGGGCAGAGGACATGTTCTATGACAAGTGAGGCAGGTTGTTTCTCAYGGCTAATCTTGACATGAATAGAGTCTTTCTCAAGTTGTGCGGTGCTTTTTCTGATCCTTCTGGGATGGAATATGTCCAGTGTTACCCCCACAGAGCAATCATTCCAAATCCACCTGATTACCATAAGCCTGTCATTTTAAGAAGATATTTAAAATCTGTAAGGCAGCATTGCTCTCRCTCTGCCACTCTCTGCAGGGACTCCATCATTTTATAAAGAAGCTATGCTTGGTCATGCAAAGTCTGACCAAAAGAGTCAGACCTGGCAGCCTTTCCTGGGAGTACCAAAGGTGGGCATCCCYGGTGGCATAAAATAGTCCGAGTTCCAGGGAGCCAGAAGGCCTGTTTCCASTAGCCTGAATAATAAAACGATTTCCCTTTGTGTTCCCTGTAGCTCAAAATGCTTCCTCCCTCCTACAAGACATCGCAGATATCAGGATTTGCTCTGACACAGCCCAGAAATCAAAATGAACTGCAACATTCAGATGTGGATGGAAATCCATCTCATTCCAAAGCTTTAAAGTTTAGGCGCATTAAAGTTTAGGTTTAGAGGTCTGCACGAATCTTCAGAGAACGCTTTTAAATTTCTTCCGAGTGTGCTATTAAATCAAAGTGATGTTTATCAACATAAATAACTTTGATCTTCCTATGGATCAAGTAGCAAATCAGGGACGAGGTAATACAGTTGGAACTTGCTATAGGACCTGAAATATCCTTTCATCTATTACCTATTCTACCTCAGATAAAGTAATCCAGTGGAAATAACAATGAATTGCTGCCCTTTTTGCAAGAATAAAAGCCCACTTCTCATCTTTAGAAATAAAACCCTCACTCAAAGTATGCAGCAGAATGATGTATACATCATTCTGCTAACAGCCATTACCTCTAGTCAACCTAAAAGAATAGAATAAATGAAGACAGAAACAATTGAGAAAAAAAAAGAAAGAGAACTCACTCTTCCTTCCATCTATTCCCTTTCTCCCAGTAAACCCCTCAAAAGGCCATGTGCCAGCCCAAGCAGTTAAAACTTAATTTAAAATTCACAAAGCGAACAATAGTTCACCAAGCAAAAAGAATATCTGGAAGATAGAGAACAAAAGTAAAATCTAAGGTGACATCCAAACTACAGGATAAAACACGCTCAGGGCACCTGCAGGAACAAATGGCCCAGGATCATCTGCTTCCTATTTAACTGCCAGCAGGAGTCTTGGCTGTCCTCTGCCCAACGTGCTCCAGGCTGCGCTTAGGCCTGTGCTTGGGCAGGGACCATCTCGAGCACGTTCAGATGCAGCCACCCAGGTAGGGGAAGGATGGAGGGGGAGGCAACTATGGTAGTTTGGGGCCAAGCAGTGTCATGCACTTGGCCTCAGAAAGAAGAGACCGAAACTGGATAGACTTGGTGCTGACACAGTGGTGCACATCCTAGAAATATGCTTTAAAACACTGCAAAGGGATTGCCTCTCTCTGCACTTACAACRCTGAATTATCAGCATAAGCAAACAATGTTCAAATGCAAACAAACAGGTTTACCCTTTCCCTGTTTTTCTTTTTTTTTTTTTTTCCTATGGCTCTTTACCTGTGGGGATGGAGATTTGGAAAAATTCAGTGACAAAGAAATKCAGATTTATTGAAGGCCAAAACGATGTCTTAAACACAAAATCACATAGTCTTTTAATATCTCCTTTTTTTTTTTCTCTTATCAAGGCCAAGCTTCCTCTGAAGACTCTATAGCAGACAGAAGGATGAGAATAACGACAGCAAGGTGCTGGGCTTTTGTTGTCTTCTAAAAGAAAGAGCTCTGACTGCTTTACTTCTCATCGTTCCGAGCCAGGCCCTCACAAGAAAACTAAAGACACCTAAGGYAGACCAAGGCCACGCAGTGAAGCTGTGAAGGAGGATGTGGCCGATCTTCCTTGACCTCAGTTCAGAAGTTCTCAAGGTGAGGAGAAGGAAACACCAGCAATGCTGAGGTTAACAGCGTTAACAAGAGGAACATGCCTAAGTGTGSAGAGAATCTAGGCTGGTGGAGAGACAGAGCCTGAAGGGGACCTAAGGACGGGGTGTCAGGGCAGCGRAGGCACCAGGAGAAGCGCTGAAGGCCTCAGGTGGCCCAAGCACACTGCTCAGTTTCAAGCTCAGAGCCAAAGAAGTCTCAGTCTCTCCCTTGCCTCCGACCCCTCCTTGCCGTGCCRTGAGGAAGCCTGCAAACCACTGTGCTCCCGCCACAGCCCACGTGCGCCTCGCTCGCCCCACTGCACTTGTGGTCGGGCAGAAACAGGGGGCCRTGTTTCCTGCKYTGCCTTTGCTGTTGCACAGAACAAATATTAACCGCCGCAACTTCCGTTTTCAAGTAGAGCAACTTGGGTGCAAAAGCACTAAGTGAGGGCAACCTCTCTGCAGCACTGTAAGGGGGGATTTTATTTCATTGTAAAGTTCTGCCYGATTAAAAAAAAAAAAAATCAAAATACCATGTCAGCCCTCCTGCTTGTGCCAGGAGAGACCCAACAAGCCCAGCAGATGAGGAGGCAACAAATCCTCCCTCTAGATCCCGTGCCTAGTACCCAGAATCCCAATACAATGGGTTTGAATTTGGAGTTATTCATCCTAAAGGCAGGCTCAGCAGTTTGTTTAAAGTCTTCTCTCTGGGTGGGGTGCCAAGAGTTTCCTATCTCTCTCACTCAGCCATCCGCGCATCCTTTTTTTTCTACTATCACAAAAGGGTCTTATCTCTTCTGTTAGAATTGGAGTAGAAAAAGGGGGTTGTGGACAAACAGTCGCTGAGCTGCTGGCTGAATGATACTGCCGGCTAAGCGCTTGTCATCAAAAAAGTTGGGCTGAGGATAAAGATATAAAAATAGCTGGGGCACTTCACTTTTCTTTGGAACACACACACACACACAAAAGACTTCTTTTGTCAAAGTCCTACAAAGGAAGAAAGGATAGCTATTTCTGGTTTGGCTCTGTCAAATAGAAACAGAATTCTTAATCACAAAAACAATCATTCAGGTAACCCTACTCACAGAACAGTCTCCTGGCAATTAAGCAGAAATTTTCTCTGCTGATTAAGTCAGTTAAGACACTTTTGTGTCTATCGAGCCAGGCCCAGAGGGAGGTTTGCTTCGCAGGAGAATTAATAGAGTCATCACTGAGTTTGTCAAGTGCTTAATTCAGCACCTTGGGCTAATAGACGCTATACGAATATAAATAATAACAGCCTGACTACTTGGAGAAAAAAGCCACTGAGATGAACTTCAAAGCGCCTGCTCACATAAACGAGTCTTTACTGTCCCATAGAGGATGCTGTTATGCCCCTGTCTTGGATATGGCATCTGGATCATTCAAATGTTTTAAATGTATTTACTCTAGACACCACTTAATGCCTCACAGGACAAGCAGATAAAGAAAAACTTGTCCTGTGTCAAAGAAGTAAATACAGATGCTCCAGCTCCATGTGTCCTTAGCAGCTGATGTCTCCAAATCTGCATCTGGAGTGTCTTTGTTCCCTCAAAATATTCTCTCCAGGAACAAAATGTCCTTCAGCCGCCCAGGAGCTATTTGTATCTCCTGGATGAACTGTTTTAATTGCTCTCTCTATCTCGGGTTTTATCAGGTGTCCTTGGTCTACCTCCCTTTATTCGTTATGGTCTGCTGACATGTGTGGTTGCCCCACAATAGTCCCTACCTGGAGAAACTCTAGTTTATGTTTATAGCAACKCTGCTGATTTCAAAGCATTTAATTTAGACTCATGTCCTCAGGAGAAGATTTTGTCCTAGAGACAGTAAATTACACAAGAGAAGGACTGATTCTTGGGAGGGCACAGGAGGTGGGAGGCAATTCACCTAAATTGCCCCTCAGTAAATAATTCAGATCAATTATCTGGTGAATCCTAGTTATTATGTTGTATAGGTAAAGCCTTAAGAGGTGTCTATAAACTGAGGTTAACTCCAAATATTCTCACTACCAGTAAAAACCTACTGTATTTATAATCTTATATATCATCTCTCTCCAGATTTAGTGGAAGAACAAGAGCTCACCGTTGGCTACAGTATAAAAAGTCACTACATATTAAAAAATTCAAGAAGCAACAAGCATAAAAAAAAAGCACCTCATTGAGCCCTAAATAGGTAAATCATCAGGAAAACTAACAAGTTGTCCTAGTCTTTAATGGCTCTTAATTCTGTGGGCTAAAGATGGAAAATTATTAACTAGTTGAAAAGGAAAGAGGGAAATCAGCTGTCTTTGGCTGTGGGAATCTCATTGCTTAATTACTTATAACGTTGTGTGTGAGAATATAAGCTTTTCAGTATGCTGGGATCAGTAGAAAACCACTTCCAGAACTGGGCAGTCATTATCAACTATCAGTTGCTTTTAATTTAATAGAAATTAAGATGTGATTTATTTCTCCTAGTGAGCTGGGCACATATAAGGCAGACTAGATGGGCTTCATAATTAAAGGTTTGTAAAAGCTCTGCATTTTATGTAGCTGTGTATGATTTTCTCTATAAACAAGTTTGAAGAGATTGACTCCACTGTGGCGCCTTAATAATGGGTTT